CTTATGTGTAGTTTTGTTTTAACCCAACAGGCTGTAACAACTTGGTTATATTGCATTTTAAATTATCGCTATATTTGGCCTATGTACTATTCACTTATTATTATTATTTGTCAGATTCGGCAGAGCTTCCACAGAGCTGACTGGTAACGCACAGCACTAACACTGGGGTTCACCAGACACTGTACTAAAGAGTTCTCACTGACGTTCAGGCGCCACATAAACCTGTACATAATATTTCTCATTAGAGCATGGAAAGAGTTCACGTGAGTCTGACGGAACTGCAGACTAGCACTCCTGGACCTGGGCTTTTTCAGCAGAATCCTGAAAGCGTCGTTTTAGGAAACTTTGAGCTTCTGTAGTGCAGCCTTCTTACACCTGCACCACTGTGGGATGAATACAAAAGTGAACAGTACATTTTAAACTGAGTAATTTTAACATCAACTGTGCACATGTGAAATTTTCGCACTAAGGTGTTGGCTTGAGCGTACAGTTTTTGACACGGACGATTAATTATAGTATTCATTAATATTTACAATGTCATTTTACTGCAAACACATAGCTTTTGAGCAGACAAATAAAAGTCTGGAAAACAGAGATGTTGGTCCTCTCTGGTGCGGCAGATTAGTACAGCACTCTTTTTGGCACTTGATCCCATAATCAGAGCATTCAACAGCTGCTAAAAGCCGTCGGCATACATATAATGGTTGACCAGCGTGTTGCCAATCATGCAGCCAGTTCTACAGCCATTCCAACACCGGGACAGGTCCTCCATGGGTGACCTGTCCCGGTGGTTAAACAGGAGTTAACAGGTTAAACAGGAGAGGGGACAAAAGCCCGCCCTGACGCACTCCGATACTAACGCCGAAGGCAGCTGAGATGGTATTACCCCACTTAACCTGCATCTGCTGATTAGAATACCAGTTGGCCAAAATTCTCATTATGCTCTCAGGCACATTCAATGAACCCTAATAACAGTTTTGTCTTAGATACACCTGTGCCGTCTCCTTTTTAGACTGAAAATAGATCAGTCTCCAACTTGAATTTCAATCCAAACTGGTCTGTTGTGCTTTTGCAGTGACTCAAGCAATCAGTATCTTCTCAAGGACTTTAGATATCACACATATCTGTCTGTAGTTATCCAAACTCCCAACTTTGCCAGCCTATAGAACACCGCTCGGCTAAAAACATAAATGACCTTACAAGGCGGGTTAAATGCTGAGTCGTTCTGCCACGCCAGCCTGTGTTGCTCAGTCTGTAAGGAAATACAGACGTATTTGGGCAAAGCGTTTTTGGGCAAAGCTCCGGTGTTTTTCTGCAGCAGGAATGAGGTTTTTGTCATGAATATTACATGAATATTACAATGTATTTCAGTATATTTTGTGGACCTGAATGAGACCTGCACATTTATCGATTGTGTCTTTTGATAGTCAGAGAGATATTGACCCCTGCCACCTTCCCTATCTTAGGCAGCAATGAGTTCGTTCAGTGGGACAACAGCCCTAACGGTACGTCTGGAATACAGCCAACAGTGCCAAAAGGTATCCCAGATAATATAATGGACAGGTCACTTGCAGCACCATTCATCGCCCTCGGGTGGGTGGGCGGTGGGTTGCCATGGTAATCCGCCGCAGAGCCAGCCAGGGAAAGATAATTGACTTCGACAGTCGGCTCGGAGGAACCCGTGTGTTCAGAGAAAGCGACGACGTACAAAGAACAAACAAATTAGCCTCATGGAGATGTGTAGAGAAGAGTGACCAGTAGTTTTACCATAAAGGCTCTACGTATGGGGAATTCTGCTCAGTCTAAGAAGTAAATGGTAGATTTTGGGAGAGAGAAAATGTAATGTGATGTTGTCGTTCTTAAGCGCTGCCTAATGTATTTCCCTCTATTTATGTTGGCTTTGAACAGGTATAAATGTGGTCACGCGGATATAATTTGTAGCTTGAAGTTTATACCACACAACATGAACTTTCCGCCCAATTGCTTGCTCTCAAAACAGTTTTGTTCTATCACCAGTTTGCACATGTATGTGTTCGTTGGCCTCTGTCCCATCTTTAGATCCGCTTTTTCAGGCAGAAAAGAGAAAAACGCAGAGCCGTTCTCACTCTCTCAGTCTAAAACATGAATTAGTGACCAGCAGGACTCTTTTACAAGTGTGCAAAAGATAACATGTTTTCAAAAAAGATGATCCAATCCAATCCACAGTTTCCAAAGTTCTGCACAATAAAAAACGATTTTAAACAAATCCATAGTAAAAACATGAAATAAATAATAATACATAGGAAAAACCTGTATGTATTTGGGTATACATAAGAATAACAGTAAAACAAAATCAAATAATGTATGTGTATGTATTTTCATGCTGTCTTTTGCCTGTGAAGCACTTTGGGCAGCTGGTGTTTGTGTAAATAGGCTATACATTTTTCATTTTTTACTAAACAACCATACAATTCCCTCCAATGATGTCTTGGTCTGATTTCCTCATTCCATTTTACATTACTCTTTCCGTTGAGGCAAAGAACCGGTTTTCTCGATGAGGAAAGTTTTAGGCTCCTCAAAGCTGTCTTTAAACGCCATCATTCTTGGTTTTGGAAGCTGGATTGATAAGACAGATGGGCTGGTGCTATGTGCGTCATCTCCACATAGCATAAACAAAATTATAATCAACGTGATTTTATTTGGCGTCAAATATGCATCAGGAGGGAGGGTTTATCGGGCTCATTGTTCGTCATGTGAAAACCTGCTCACAACACAACAGCTTTGACAATGAGGCTGCCAGCCGTCTCCGCCCACCCTTCTCAGGATGTGACTCAGCACCAGCAGCTGTTGCCATGGGTTACCAGGCAGGACAGCCCGCCGCAGGATCCCATCAGACTGGGTGCTGCTGACACATCCTCAGTCCCCTCCTCCTTTTTGCCCTTTCTGAATACATTCACAGACAGCCCTCCCATCCATCACTTTCCCAGGATAGCCTTAGCATTAGCATTAGGAGAGAGGCTTTAATCCCAAGTCTCTGCACCAAGATGTGGACCATTTGCACTGGTCCAGTAACCTCCTCTCTCCTGCCCCTCCTCCTTACTGCAGATTAAATCCTTATTAAGAGCAAGTGACTTAACGCCAATCCACTTACACCAATTGATGACGGTTACGTAGCCACGGTTCTCAAGATGCACCAGTGAGAGGCATGCAACATCTCGCACAAACTCAACCCCAGCAGGCTTACAGCGATGACATATGTGACAGGCCTAAATCTGTTTCACTTCCTGATGCAGAGAAGTGTTCGCACAAGCTTAGGAAATATGTGACAAATTGCAACACCGCTTTATACCGGGCAGAACCAAATGCAATGCGATTGAAAGCATTCTGTTTCTTTTCCAGTCAGTTTAGCCGTCTGATTACAGTCTTATCCTATCATTGATGTCATGGAAAGTTCAGACTGAAGCAGTTTTGTCATAACATATAAAACCACCTGTCTTTATATATACATGTTAAACGCAATATAATGAAAACGCAATGGCAGCTTCACCTAAAAAGAGAGATATTGCAGTTTTAATGGTTCAGCTGCAGATATTAGAATATGCAGTTGTACATATGTATTGATATTTCCCTATAGAAAGCAACAATGTGATTACTTGGAGAATGAAATACCCTAATAATCATAATTCATCATGGAGGTATTGGCAGGGAAGGTCAAAAACAAAGGATTGCTGTATTGCAAATCCATCAATGCAAATCGAACTTCGAGCATGGGAACACTCAACGCTGGGTTTGCATATGTGAGCCATGTCATGCTAATATTGTTAGCTAAAGTGGAGGTTAATTCAGGCCGGTGTAAATCTCCCGCTGGGCTGCACAACGTTCTGGAGGTCACAACATGCTTCTTCATAAGCCACTGCTCAGCCATGCATCAAACTGACGGAGGAAACCATTCAGCTCTTGGCTTATGTATTGGCCCGGGTTATGAGTCTGTTAATGTTAAACTAAAGGGGCATATAGCGTGACAAAGTGTGCTAAGTTTGAACCAAGTCTGAACTTTTCACAACCTCTTCAGATTAAGATGGTTTTATATATCCCTGACTGACACTGACATAAAAAAGTGCTTCTGCTTCAACAAACTCCCACTCAAGACTCATTGCGCAGTCTGACTTATATTGCTACAAGAAAGTAGCTACAAAGAGAAAAGTGGTGTGGTCCCAAATGAAAGATTAACAACTGAGCTTTAGTAACAAATTCTTTTTTATTACAACATTTCACGGTTTTCCATTTCTGGTAATGATTTGTGGCAGAATAACATGACTCCTGGGAATTTACAAAACTTCAAAAGGGTTTGATTTAGAGTCAAAATCAGGCAAACAGATGGTTTTATTTGCCAGTATTTTTTGTCCACATTTGAGTCTATTCAGAGACAGATAAGTCCCGATGTTTCAGAAGCAGGGCCAATACTTTTTAACGATGAGAAAGGTCCATGTGGGATCTCCCAGGTCTAGTTGGAATCCGTCATTTAGATTTATCCTCGTGTAAAAAATAACAAAAACAGACACAGTGACACACATTATTTGGGACATTTACATTTTGGCCAGCGTACATACAAAGTTGTGCATTTTTTTTCCGAAAATTAGAAGACAAAAAACAATAAAAAGCTCGACGCCCCGGCTTTTGGCGCGAAAGCAGCTACACAGGAAGTTGGGTTTTGGTGTTGGTGGGTGAGACGGTGATGTGCTTCCTGTCACTTTGTGCACCCACGGGCGACACACACCTTTAGGACCATGTCGCTCCCTTGCCCCGCCTCAAATGGACCATCCACAAGGGGGGGAGATGTTCACCAAGGAGCACGGACCGACTGCCCAAAACGCAGGCACCATCCGTCCGCACGAGCTGTGCAGCGCGGTTATTGTCGTCATTTCATAATTTCGGTTACGAAGTTATACAGCTAAAAGAAGTGACTGAAAACAAGGCAATGCGGGAGAAGGGGGTGTACAGTGCATGGTGGAGGTGCGGCTTCATGATGACCCAGCAGCCTTCTCCTGTTCGATGACTGTGGAGGAAGCAGAGAAATGTGTGAGGACTGAGCCAGTGGTCCCACCCTCTGCCCTCTGCCCTCTACCCACTGCACACACACACACACACACACACACACACACACACACACACACACACACACACACACACACACACACACACACACACACACACACACACACACACACACACACACACACACACACACACACACACACACACACACACACACACACACACACACACACACACAGATGCACGCACGCACACGCCTAAAGGAATCTCACTCACCTTCTTTTGTAGGCAGGGGGTTTTTCTCTTGCGTCTCTGTCTTCTTCAACTTGGACTTGTCGAAGCTGCTCACCTCAGAGATATCGGGCTTGTCTGCCATTGTTTTGTTTAGACTGCAAAAAAAAAAAAAAAAAATCATAATTAAAAAATGAAACATCAGCAATCTGTGAAAACTCATCCAGAAACACAAACCCTCCCAGGAAGATTACATAAACAATGATTACATAAGAGTCATATCTGAGGCTAATCTAAATGTCTGCAGCACAATAGTGGGTTGGGGCGTTGTCTGAAATCAAGTCTACTTCCAGTCCACGCGCAACACTTTCTCCTCCCGTGCCTTTGTTCGCCTCCACCCGTTACAACCCCACGATCCTGCCATTCGTCCCGTTATCCAAGTGTCTGGTGCTGCGCAGACAACAAAGCCGGTCCAAAAGCAGACATTTACATAACAATGGAAAGCTGAGAAATGGCCAAGAGGCGCAAAAATATGAGAAACGTGAAAGTGGGGGTTAAAAACTGCGCAAAATAACGAGATATTACTGAAGCACGTTTTTGTTATTGTCTGCTGTTTATAAACATTTTTTTTTTCACTTTTACGCAGTAACGTGTAGGACAACCACCGCCCAGATTTTGGTCATTCGCAAAGAAAAAAACAAGAAAGAAAAGAAAAAATGAAATATCCCCAAAGGAAAACGCCTACATGTCCACGCGGAGTGCGAAGACAAAGCACGTCTAGTGGAGGTATGTGGACGATAACGGGGCCAGACGCACGCACGCACGCTTCCCAACAAAGGAAAGGACTCTTGGACGTGTGTGAATCTAACGGGACAAAGGCAGAGGTGCATTTCACATCACTCCCATCATGTGCCAGCCTGCAAAATGCAATCAAATACCCGCTTTTACGAGAATAGTGAAGTCAAAATGCAAGGAAAGGAGCGTGGATCGAGCATAGACTCATGGGGAATGCGTTGACTATTCTATCGGCTGTGCGTAAAAAATGGACATAGGTGTTGGATAGGTTTCTTACCGGAGTGTTGTCTAGTGATTGGGAATGTCTCAGGTCGGAGAGGTGCAGCTGAAGTGGCGTGTTCGACTTGCGCTCGTCGTATATACCCATCATATGCTAATGAAGAGTGACGTCACAGAGTCAGTGGCTGCGTCTCCTAGTGGTGACGGGCCGCTACTGCATCAGCGAGACGTAATGGTGCGACATACATCTGAGCCCCAACAATGTGAATAAAAACACATTAAGCAGAACTGTCGCGTTTAGAAATTGTAATAAAAAGAGGCTGGTTGGTGGTGTTAGGTCTAGTGTGGATTTGTCTGGCCAAGTTTGTTCTATCGGCCATTAAACTGAGAGGTTGGTTCTGTGACTTGCATTCTTAAAGCAAGGTGCGCCACCTGGCGGGGGGTACTGGGAATAACCAGATTTGTTTTCGTTTTTTAAAATGTCATATTAAAATGTTTCTATCAGAAAATACACAATGAATAATGCGCTAGGGTTCAATATAAAATGTCAGCTAAACTAAAAGCATTATGGGAAATATACTCATCTAAACCAAACGTAATACTAGTGTAAACTGACTGTTATTGTGATGTCATTTACTTTTCTCAGTCAGGGGTGTTCTGATAAATCAGCGTTCATAAATGTTCATGTTGCTACATTTAAGATGTACAATGTAACTGGACTAAAGAACAGGCCTGCCTCCTGATAAGCTCCACACTACAGCATTCCCTTCTCTTTAATCAACCCTAGTGCAGACTGGATAAAATAATTAACTCTGGTCCAACTTAGTCTCCATTAGAAGTGTGACGATATATCGATATTGTGATACTTTATATGGCTACATTACGCATCTCCATTCCATTTATCATGTAATAAAGTGTATTTTTTCACTTAAAATTGTTTTCATTTATGCCAATATGTGCTGTATTTGAACCCAGAGTTGAAAATTAGTTAATAACTTAACTATTTCGTGTTTATTCAGATTGCTTTACTGAATGATTTCTATAACAGTATATTTCTGACCAATATATAATCATCATATTGTGATCATAATCGTCATCGTGAACTTTGTATCGCGTATCGTATGGTGAGGTACCCTGAGGTTCCCAGCCCTAGTCTCCATTGACCATTTAATGCCACAAAGCTTCCAGTTAAAGTAATTGCATTTGTGTGGACAGAAGCAGCTGGTGTAAATATGTGACATTGTGCTTTTGAACAGAATAAATCCAATACAAGAGTCACATGATTGATAGATGAAAATGCAGTGATTTTATAAGCAGTTATCAAAGCTTTATTGTCAAAGAAACAGCTCAAAGTGTTACATTATGAAAAAATAATGACTTTCCACCATCTTAACTCATCTTCAGACAGTGGCGTGTGAGAAACAAAAGTGACCCGTTACAACTGTGACAGTTACACCACTTCAATGGCCTCAGCTGCAGTCAGACTCCAACACTTGAAGCCAGTTCAGGCTCAAAGAGTTTGAATGACCTTTTGGAACGTGGATGGAGCACCCACTTCTACCTCGTACAGAATAAAGCCTGAATATTTTCACATTCTGTGGAAACGACCTCTGTAGGTCTTTGTTAGGACTGAAATGTGCATTACTCTAACAACTGTGATGTCACATTCTCGTTAGGCTAAGGATTAAAAAATGAAATTTAACCAGGAGGGGCCTAAGAAAACAAACATTCAATATATAGATGTGTTATAGTAGATAACTCTTTAATACTTTATGGGCTGCCAAGCAAATCTTAGAGGGAAACGGTGCACATTCAAATTTAAGCATATTTGTAATTATTTAAGAATTTCTTCCCAAAAATGAAATAAAGAGAGGAATGCTTCATACTGAAGGTCAGCGCAGATAAGAGAAAGGCCAGGTCAGCAAAAAAAGATGCCGACTTTATGAAAATAAGAAAACAATACAAAAGAATGAACTTATAAATACAAAATGGTCTTCAGAAGTGTTGTGTTACTTCTTTCCAGGTGTGGTTGGTGTTTACAGTCACATGTTTGACCCTGGAGAGCCTCTGAGGGGGGGGGCAGCACTTGTACCTTAGAAACTTTACAATGGAACATGACTGAAGAGGTAGGACACGGACTCGCCGTTGTGGGTTCTCCTGATGGCCTCTGCTAGGATCATGGAGATGTCGATCACCTGAAAACAAAGGGAGAACCATTAGCAGGTCTTCCATGTGCCTGGAGAATTCACGGTCTGTGATAATTACCTGAATTTTGGGGCATGACTTCATCTTCTCCTCTTGTGGTATTGTGTTGGTCACGACCACAGCCTCAAACGGGGCTTGGTTGATGCGAGAAATGGCAGGACCTGAGAAGATTCCGTGTGTGAGGATGGCGTAGACTTTGACCGCACCAGCGTCGATCAGCCTGCGGACCGTTCAGGGCAGAATTAATGCCTTTGTTTAGACACACAGGCGGCTACTGAAAACACAAACAAGACGGATGAACACGGACTTGTCAGCGGCGTGGCAGATGGTGCCGCAGGTGTCGGCCATGTCGTCCACCAGAATGGCCACTCGGTCCTTGACATCTCCCACCAGCACCATGCGGTCCACTTCATTGGCCTTTTTCCTCTCTTTGTGGATGAGGGCAAAGTCCACGTTAAGGCGGTCTGCGATGGAAGTTACACTGAGAATAGGAAAGACAAGTTTATCATCGGGTCAGAGAGGGGCCTTCTACATGGTGAACTCAGCCTACCGCTTGGCTCCCCCAGCGTCTGGGGACACAATTATGCAATTTTTCCATTCTGGAATGTTCTCCTTTATCCACTGTAGAACAGCTGGTTCAGCATACAAGTTGTCTACTGCTATGTCAAAGAAACCCTGAAGAAAGAAAGGCAAAGTTAGGAGCTGTACACAATGCCCAAATAATTCTGAAATCAGCATTAGGTTTATCGGACAGAGTGGTTACCTGTATCTGTGAAGCGTGGAGGTCCATGGTGATGATGTGGTCTGCCCCGGCCACAGATAACATGTTAGCCACTAGTTTGGCAGAGATGGGGGCTCGGCTCTGAGGGGACACACAAACAGGGCTTCAGTCATTCAGTGTCAGCTCCAGTTCAAGGCCCAAAGCTTTGCAAATGGTTACAAACCTGCTAACTTCATATTGATCAATTTGTACTAAAAAATAAATACAAAATAAAAAAGGGGAAAAATGTACAATAACAATCTTAAAACATATTCACATTCTATAAGTCCTCCGTATTCACATTCAGTAGTTATTACGTCATAAGTGCTTTAATTATGTAGTTAATTTTAAGTTTTTAAACAATTACACTCAAAGCAGATTTGCTACAGAGACATAAAACAAGCATGTTTTACTTCCAATCAGAATGTGCGTCACATGGCCTTACATTTGAGCAGCTGTTCCATAGGAAAATAATTAGATCACATAAACACCCTTTTACCCATTTTATAAAATCCAAAATTAACCTGATTCTGTCTCTAAAAACTTATAAGTTTTCACTTTTTTATGTCACATTTAAAAATCCGCTTTTTCAGTGAAATAGTACCAGCCATCACTCAGCCAATCAGCTCTCAGCATAGAAAATATAGAATACTTTGTAATGAAGACGGCATGTTGTGGTCAGATCTGTTCACAAAATGTTACCTAAACGGAACCCTTTCTGTTGGCACAAAATGTTTTATGGAAAAGGCTTGGTACTGCAGTTTCACATCATTGCAGTCTTTGGGATTTGCCAGTTGATCATGATTCAATTGTGCTTAATCTTGCAGACATTCATGTTTTCCAAGTCAAAGGTGACATGTGCTTACACACATCAGCTTCTGGCCTCAGCACCTGTTTACACAACACACGAGCACTCCAAGAAAACTTCAAGCTTTGACTTCCTCTGATCGCACAATTATTCCAATCTGCAGCGTTTTCCATGTTCTAGAGCCCAGGGTTTGTGTTTACTTTGCTCCTGTGAGAACTTACCTTGTTCTTCAGACAAGGAAAAAATACCTCAACCACATGTGTAAGTAAAAACAGCATGCGCCGTCAAACCTTTCACTTGCGGCTTTGGGAGCAGTACCTTGTCCTTCTTATCCTGGCGAGCATAGGGGAAGCAGGGGATGACGGCGGTGACCCGGGACGACGAGGCGATCTTGCAGGCGTTGATCATGATGAGCAGTTCCATCAGGTTATCGTTGATCTCTCCACAGCCGCTCTGCACGATGTACACGTCCTCCCCGCGGACACTCTCGCCGATCTCCACGCTGTCCAAGCAAAGACATGCTTCAGCTCAACATGTGCATCTACTGTGTGTGCGAGTGAACATAACACACCCAGTCAGTACTGCCTTTTGAATGGCTGATCACACAAGTTATACTAAACCAAACCGCTGCCTGCCAGTCGCATTTTATTCTAGACACTGAAGAAATGTACATTCTCTTCAACACCCACACACATGCCACACACTAGGATATAAAGCCATAACTGTTAGTCATTTCAATAGTTTTGTAATTGTCCAATAGTTAACTTCAAGTCTTTGCAAGTAACTTTGTGTCATACGAGACATAAGATTGTTGAAATATGCAAATGCTGAAACACCAAATATACTGTTCTATCTTGAGAAGATCTGCTTCTGTTGTAGAGAAAGTTCAATCAGGCTCTCTAGACTCTACCATGAAGACACAAGAAACACATGTGTGAAACATTCCTTGTCTTTGACCATGTGACCAGCGTGTGCACAAGAGGTTCAGGGAGCAGAGTAACCGCTTGCAGATATAAAATGAGCTGCAGCGACGTGATTGCTTTGTTTTACAGCATACATTTTTAATCTGCACGGAGAAAGCCTTTAGAGTGCATTCCCATCATGTGTAAACAATAAAAACAAAAGGGATCCTTAAGCAGTCTTTGAAATTCCCCAAAACAAATGTCTTTCCACAGGTGTGAGCAGTAAATAAGCATGTGTCACAGTAAGCTCTTTTAACACATTAGAAAGGAAAAGCTTCTTCCACTTCTCCGTGCTCCATTTAGCCGTAAATGAACTGTGAACTAATGTCCAGCCTCTGAAAGATTACCGCTAACCGTCTGCCCTTCGCTTTGCCATTTTGTATTTTTTTGTGTTTCGACTGCTCTTTCTGCACCTGTGCTGGTTTTCTTGTGAGAAGAACTTGGCTTAGTCATGAGAAAATTATCTTTGTTTTGTTCTTCAAGCACAAACAACAACCAAATTCCCTTGAGACCATAAAAGGAAGGGATGGCATTTAAAAACAAAAGATACCAAAGTCCAGCAGTGAGGTGTTGCATGTAAAAAGTACAATTGGCGTAACTGCGGTTCATTTTGAACAAAGGCTCTTCAATTGGCCCCAAATGAGACTATCCTGCTGTGACCATGTTAAAGCAATGCCCGGTCAACCATGAGATCACTTTAATGGTGCAATGCTGGTCATGGATATATAAAATAATGGATAACAATGCAGATTCATAATTATTAGCTTGATCACATTATGGGCTCAATACTAAAATATATCACCAACAGCTTATTGCTTAGAATTTAGACACTATTTAATATCTATCTGCACAGTTTAGCAGTGACTTGCAGGAGAAATATCCAAAAGAAGACGGTAGCAATAATAGTGCTGGTATAAACACTTCATAGTAGTACTTAAGGGGAAACCAACAGTCATAAAAAATATATTGTTAAGGCGCTCAGGACAAAAAAATGCAGGGAAAGCTTGCCTCATCCCCTGAACACAAACAGGACAGCGTGCAGCCAATAGGTCAATGGGACAAAAGATCAAAAACAAAAAGGTATGTGACCCTAGGAACTTAGTAAAAACCCAGGCCCAGTTGTTTGCAACGTGCATTTGGATAAGCAGTCAGGGTGCAGCACTAATTATAACTAATGGGCGACTTGTCTACTGGGCAAATGTAATGCATGTGAGAGGCATAACGGACTTTATTGTAGTCAGGCACTTGCATCTACTTGTCAGTCGGTTTTTAATTGCAACTTAAAATAAAGTAGGTCAAACATGTGCATTATTACATAGAACAATGTGTGTTATGGCGCACAGGGCATGTATAACAACTTCAATTATGCATGCAAGTAAATGACACTCAGTTTTTCTTTTGCAAAACATGTATGTGTCCAACTAGAAAGCATAGACAAGGTGTGCACTGGAGAAGACTTGAGAGTTTTCCTGCCTCCTAGCTAAAGCTTTAAACCTGGATATCATGCTCCTCCACGACACCTAGCATACCAGGCTACATAAAGGGTTACATCACGTCTTTGTCTCTAAATAAAACATCATTAATTAAGACACAATGCCAACGCGCACATGAATAGCTGTGTCGTTACAAGTGGTGTAAAACATATGCTACATTAGCCTGTTAGCATGCTGTGTTTACATGATGCTAGCGTGTCACGTGCGGACAGTAGCTCATCCGCGCGCTCTACTATTGTTAGCACGGAGCTAACTTTACGCACATGTTAAAGAGGAGATCAATCTGGCTACGGTGTTTATCATGCAAACACTACCGAGCATAGAGTGGGTGGGGAATGCGCACTTGCCATGTTTCCTGATTGCTGAACTTCTTGGTGATGACTTTGCCCAGGTCCAGTCCGAGGCGATCGGCCACCTTCTGGGACAGGTCGTGGTGCGAGCTCCCGCTGAAAAGCACGATGTTGGGCATGTTGTGAAGTGAAGGAGTGCGATTAATCCGAGTAATGAACGCGAATGAGAGGAGGTGGCGTTGCCGTGTACCCACTGAAGGGTTGAAAAGTGATAAATGTGCGGGTTAAAGTTGCGGCTTTGGCATCGCAGTGTGCAGCGCTGTGTCCGGGGCAGAGAGGGGGACGTGCGTCGTGTGCGTGCGTAGTGAAACCGTAAAGCCAGCCCCTTCTGTAGAGAGACAGCGCTCTCCTCCAAACAGACGCATCGCGACTGGTTACAAAAGCCAAAGTATTGTGGATCATGTCATTCATAAAGGTTCCAGCCGATGGGCACATACAATAGTTATAGAAATGTTCTTTTGGAAAGCTCTTGTTCTGTTTTGTATGACACTAGAAATGCATCTACTGTATCTCTCGGTGGAGATTGTTGTCAAAAAGGATGTTGATTTACCAACAAGTTATTCTAGTTATTCGGTCTTCCATATTGGTTCACGGAACGTCTACTTGTATTATTTTTTAGTTTTAATAATTGAACAAAAATGTAATTTAATTTTTAGATTTTATTGTAAACATAGCATATTTGATCCATATATGGAACAATAATGCAAATGAAAAGATGTCAACCTTATCTGCCAGGCATAGATATTATGGGATACATGGCCTATATGTTGCAACGCCGTATGGCACATTACGCAACATCTACTTGGCATACTTGATATTTTATTCAAACCATATTATATTCATAGCGTGGTGCAGAATTTCAACACACCATGCTTGTCATAATTCATTTAAGCCCTGGTCCAAACTGTGAAAATGACATTTCTTAAGCTGCTGGGTTTTCTGCCGAAGAGCAGCCGGGTCATTTCATCTCAGAATTTGGCTGAATCCAGGAGGACTGTAGAGACTGACTTTGCTAATTAGATTTCCCACTCAAAAATAAGTCAGCTGAGGCAAATGGTCCGAGTTTGGACTATGCACGAGTATGATGCACTTTGGATATTTGTTTATTGACTTGCTGTGTTTAACAAATGGCTGACAAAAGAAGGATGTTGTCACAGACTTTTAATTGTTAAAATGATACTGTGGACAAACATGAAAAGGCTTATAGATCGTCACAGCTGTTCAGAGTATCTACCATATTGATTTGGCCTAAATACCTTCTAACTTCACTGTGCAGAAAACAATGCAAACAGACCAGCAGAGGTTAGTGTATTTTCAGAAATATATTTTATAGATGATGTCAGAGATGAAATTTCCAAAGCGTAGGTCCCAAAGAAAGAACATTTTTCATCAATAGAGACAAACAACAAACAAAAAAATAACTTTTTCATTTACATGTAAACCAAGATTTGCTCTTGAGCCACAGTGGTTATATATAGAACTGGCCGAGGTGGATATGACAATCAAACGATGCCCTTCACAAACTTTACTATATCCAACCTTTAACTTGCCGTAAATAGTGGCCGTTTAAAAATCTTTGAAAGTGGACATTCTTTGGGAGTCTTTTAAAGGTGAATAGAGCAGAGGTTTGGCAGAGCATGTCCAGTCCATACATGAAAGAAGTGCTTGAATCATTAAAATCACGTATTGGAAACGATATTCATTAAGGACAATATCAAATGTTTCTCAGTGGAGTCATTTGGACAAAGTCTTTTTGAATGGTTCGCGCACCAGAAAGGCACAAAAAGCGCCCAGTGCCGCGGTGAGGAGGTTCTCTAAGTCCCCCAGTGTTCTTCTGTTGTGCAAATACATTTTCTTACATAGACAAGCAGGCATGCTGACTCACAAACCATGCAAAGAGTTTAAGTTGGCGCGAGCAGACAGCAAAAAAACAAACGTCGGAATAGTAATAAAGTTTCTACAAAAATGTGAAACCTTGAATTTTTGTTTTAAAAAAGAGCCAAATTAAATAACTAAGAAGTGGAATGTTCTGTTAGACATGTAAAAGTACAACTCAAAGGTTTGAAGGTATAAAAATGTAAAAGAAAAACATGATAGTCATCAATCAACATGGCAAAGGTTAATGGAATTCATGGCAACTGGTGAATTTGAAAACCAAATTTGGCGAGAAAAGAATGTGGTGTTATGATAGTGCAACACATGCTGGAGGCTTTTGATTGGCCCGTGTCCTGCAGACTCTTGCAGCTACATGAAAACGGCCGTCGAACCTCACTTTAGTCAAATGCTTATGTGGTCACAGTCTAAAGGTGAGTGCATATCACACTTGCACCAGAGTCGATGATCAGTTAGGCAACAGAGTGATCAATCCTTTAGTGAAATAGTCAATTTCAGCGCCATGAACGTCTCGCTGAGGGCCACCGGGAACAGCGCAGTTGATGACGAGTTAAATATGCAGCTTCTCTCACGGAGTAGTATCGTACACCATACTGTAGTTCCGCTCACAATATCATAGCTGTCATTAGTTAGAGTACATTTATAAACTTTCCATATACAAATCTCCTATAAACAGTACATGTTATAAATACAGAAAAGGCTGAGAGCCGTAGAAACAAAGTGTTTTGTTTTTCGATAAATACAAGAAAGAAAGTCTTCACGTGACTAAGTGTATGAATGGCAGCCCTATTACTATCCAGAAAACGGATAAAAACACAGAACTGAGCTATGGATGAAAAAACATTTAGAAAAATAATCTTGTACAATAAAAATAAAAAGTGGACACGCTTACCAAACACAGTTGATATTGAAAAATGGCAAAGTGATGTGAAAATCATACAATGTAGTTACAAACAGGCAGTACCGACCACCTTTTCAAAATATATTCAATTCAATATACATGACTAATGTTTAGCTCACACTAGTAACCAAGGTAGTTGCCAACCGGCAAAGCATGGAGGCTGTAAAGAAGTGCTCACTTGATCCGTGAAGAATTAACTGGTAAACATTGAACTGGTTCTTGGAGCCTTCTCTTAAAGGGCCAATAAGAAGACCACCCCCTGCAGCGAACAGAAGTCAAAGTACTGCTGTAAATGCTAACTCATGCTTTGGCTTTTCTTGCTCGTCTCTTTTGGATGACATTCATGAATCCTGCATGGTTCGTCGCTCTCTGATCAAATGCATGCTCATGTGTTTTACAAAGCAGTGATTTCAGTTAAAGGGAGGCTACATAAAAGGCTGCTTTCAGTCTAATTTCCATGTTTGAAGTGTTCCATGTTTGCTCCTTTCGTTTAACTACTGAAGCTGGCAACTACCTTTACAAAGCGCTTTCTTTTTTTTTTTTTTACAGAAAAATATATCCATCCAAAAGTAAAGTAACTCTTCAAGAGAGGCAGTGACAGACACAAATGTTGTCTTCGTCACATTCCAAGTAAACATGCTCAAAGATTGTTTGCTTAATTTAGTCATTCTAAGACAGGAAACTAACGGTCTCCTTTCCTCGCTAAAGATTCACTGAGAAATCTTTTAACTTAAGGCAATCTTTTCCTGAACAATCCTGAAATCCAGCGCACCCTCGCCAAGGCACTCCTCGCATTCATCCACGACCCTCTGCAGTGACAGGCTGGTCCCATGAGGCAACAGTCTCACCCCACGCCTAAAGTCTTTGTGAAGGCCGACTTCTGCTTCGGCCGCAAAGTCCACAGTGAACGAATCAGGTAAAATCTGCTCTGAGTCTGCGGTGAAGCCCTCGAGTGAAGGGAGAGAGAGAAAAGAGGCTGTCCCTGTGGCAGCGGGTAAAGCACCGTATGTTTCTGTGTGGACACCTCGGCCGTCTCCGCTGCAGCCGCACACGTCACATGATCAGCGTCTGGCTTGCAACACGGACAGAAAATGAGTGTCTCTACAAAGCCAATGCTGCCAAACAACGCCTTGATGTGTAATGTTTTTCTCCAGGTCAGTGCTCTGGCTCCTGATTGGCCCCCTACTCTGAGGCTGAGCCCACCATCCCTCTCCCTGGTTTTTGGAGAAACTCAGGGTTCGCCAATCAAGATGACTGACAGGTGAGTGGGCGGGACTAAATGAAGGGATCAGTCGACTCTCTGCAGCTCAGAGACGTTCCGCACAGAGGTCAAAAGGTACAGTGTGACACCCTTGTGGTTCCTCTGTTACAGTGGTTCCTCCTCCTCCATGGGCTCCTCCTCAGGCCTGCAGCACAAACGCACACTTTAGGCAAGGCAAGTTTGTTTGTTTGGCACAGTTCAAACACAAGGCAACTCAAAGCTCTCATTTAAGTCACAGTACACAGCAGAAAGTCACTTAAAAATAAGTCAAACATTAATAAAATATTCCAAAATGTATCTAAGGTTGAGCACACTTTGACTGCCTTAAAAACAAGAAATGCCAATGGGACAAAACAAAATGATCTAACCTGGACTTGCACATTTTCAAGTCAGCGAGGCACGCACACATGCCTCTGCCAGGCTGGACTTAGACCCTGCTCCTGTTTACACACATGCAGTGATGCCTAAACACTCCACACACCTGTGATCCATGGCGTTGGAGTTGGCCACAGACAGAGACGCCATGGCAGTCACAGCCTCCGCCTCCTCAGAGTCGCCGCGCTTGGCCTCCCGCAGAGATAGCCCCAGTCGCGGAGAGTAGCGGTGCACGGAGCGCCAGTACTTACCTGCAACGAGCAACGGTCATGGTTAGACACAACACCGATGTCAAAGGGTACCTGACTATCATAATTATCACATTGTGTTTGTCCCAACAGAAAGATGTAAAAGTTATGTGAAGAAATCAAACAACATGTTTTCTAAAGGAGACGCCATGATGTGATCTTTTGAATGCTTAAAAATAATAATAATAGAACCCTGTGAGTCACTATTTGACGCTGAGAGCCCAATTGCCGCATGGTCCTTTCTTTTTCTCTTTTCTGTGTGAAAAAGATGATCTAAAGCTGTGACACCCAAAAATACATGCATGTGAAACTTGCACAAGAACTAAAGGAAGAGACTAGCTTAAAGAGCGACTAAACACCTGTGCCCAGCCTTACTCCGCCCACATGAAGATTTGAAAATGTTCTCTAAAAAGGGCGTTGCCTGGAGGACCAAGGGACAAGAAGGGGGGCTTAGAGTTGGGCGTGGTCTGGGCTGTGATTGACAGCTCACTTGTCACTCAAAAAAACAGACAGTTGTCATTGCTGCTTAAAGCAATAGTTTACACACCAGAAAGTCTCATTCCACCCTCATTTACACACTGAGATAATTGTAAAGCTACACACCTGAACCTAATCACACTCAATAATCTCAGAATGACTCATGTAATTTAATTTTAATCCACTAGATGGCGCCAGAATACTCCAAACTGCAGCTGGGGCGTGTGTGAGAGTTGAATGGGTTCACATCACTGGCTCTGACAGACTGACGTCACACAAAACAACTGATGTCATAGAGAACTTCAGAGTCAATGGAGAGGCTAGGACCAAATTCAAATGTAGTACCACCAAAAAGGTTGAGAGGGCGCCACACAGACGTTTTTTGGCTCAAAAGTGATATTTTATCTAATTTAAACTAAATTGTCAAAAAAATGACCAGGATATTTAGAGAGTACTACAATAAACATATTTATGGAGTTTATGATTTGAAAAAAGTTGATTTGACGTTTAGTCGCTCTTTAAGCCTGGTTCACACGGCAGGATAATGAGGCCGATTTAAGACCCGATTTACCCCTGACGGCAATCTTAAGAACGCTCAGATTTTTGTTAAAAAAATTTGAAGGATTTTCCACGTGTGGTTGTTAAAGAGCGACTAAACGCCAAATCAACTTTTTGTAACTCATAAACTGCATAAGTATGTTTATTGTAGTGCTGTCTACATATCCTGGTCATTTTTTTGACATTTTAGTTCAAATTAGATAAAATATCACTTTTGAGCCAAAAAACACTGTGTGGTGCCCTCTCCACCTTTTTGGTGGTACTACATTTTAATTTGGTTCTGGCCTCTCCATTGACTCTGAAGTTCTCTATGACATCAGTTGTTTTGTGTGACGTCAGTCTGTCAGAGCCAGTGATGTGAACCCATTCAACTCTCACACACGCCCCAGCTGCAGTTTGGAGTATTCTGGCGCCATCTAGTGGATTAAAATTAAATTACATGAGTCCTTCTGAGATAATTGAGTGTGATTAGGTTCAGGTGTGTAGCTTTACAATAATCTTAGTGTGTAAACAAGGGTGGAATGAGACTTTCTGGTCTGTAAACTATTGCTTTAAGCAGCAATGACAACTGTCTGTTTTTTTTGTGTGTGACAAGTGAGCTGTCAATCACAGCCCAGACCACGCCCAACTCTAAGCCCCCCTTCTTGTCCCTTGGTCCTCCAGGCAACGCCCTTTTTAGAGAACATTTTCAAATCTTCATGTGGGCGGAGTCAGGCTGGGCACAAGTGTTTAGTCGCTCTTTAAGACTGCGTCGCTCAGAAGGACTTCAGGACTGCTCCGATCTCAAATCGGGGATATCCAACATGTTGGATTGTTTTGGAATCAGAAGACGAGGTGACGAGGCGGCGAGGAAACACCGTAAAAATATCATAACAGTCAGTGTCATAAATATATATAGTCTGAGCTCGCGTTGTCTCCATTCCTTTGACCATCGCCTTTTCGACCAACACTTTTTCTCTGTTAAAAACAAACTAAATATTGCCACTTGCCTCTTCGTCCTCCATGATTGTTTACTCTGAAGTCACGCTTGATCTCGAGAGATTTTGTGAGATTTCCGTCTGACCTGGGAATGCTCGGGGGGGAATCGGTTTATGTTTGATGTGTGTGCTTTGAGTGATTTTGCCGTGTGGCTGCGCACCACACACTGTACGACCAAAGTGGTTAGACCCTTGATTATTCATCTCCGTGTGTGGGGTCTCTCAGGTTAGGAAAATCAGCCGAGAATTTTAAAATTGTCTCGTGTGAAGCAGGCTTTAGAATGTATTACATAGTTCCATTCTTTGTGATTAGAAAGTTAGGTAGCCCAGCTTTAAACAGTGCCAACACTATCTTTGATTGAGAAAGTTATGAGGTGCCACTTTATTTTACTTTTTTAGGTTTTAGAATAGCATTGACATTGATGAAGTGCAGCATTTCAATATCAGATACATTATTGAGTAAACTGTAGTCATGGTATTGTTTTATTGTTTATTGTTTTATTTGTGTGTCCCTACAATTGAAATAATATTGAACTCACTGTGCGTCTCCACGACTTTCTCTAACGAGCGGACAGCGTTGGCGTTGGGCCTCTGCTCCAGCACGGCCTTGGGCAGAGCGTCCAGCTGCAGAGGAAGATGATAAAAAAGTTAGCGTGCAGTTCCACGAGTGTCCAGTAGAGGTCAGAGTCACTGGAGCGCGGCTGCAGTATACCTCCTGTCCCAGCAGCGCGGCCACACAGGCCTCAGAGGCGTCGCAGATGGCCGTGAGGTCGTGGCCCCCCTCCAAAGCCAGCACCACGCGGCCCCCAGCCAGATTCATCAGCTGCCGTGTCAGGTACCCAAAACCTGCACACCACACACAACGACATGCTCAGAGACTCAGCCTGCATCATTTAAAGCAAATATCTATAATAGCAGCTTTGCAGATAACCAATGTGATTATGATTTATGTTATGAGGCGAGGATAATGTGCAAAGTGCGCGAGGATAAACTGAAAAAACGAGGAAACAGATTTTTTTGAAGATAGTCATTTTCTAATCCCACTGTGCTTGTGCTTTAGAAAACACTTTTTCCATTAACAGATAAAAGAGTCAAATAAAGAGATTACCATACTGCTCCCGCGGGACATTTTTTGTAAAGGTCACATTTTGTTTGTTGCAACAGAAGAGTCTTGTAAACGTAAAATCTTTATATTAATTGTGGTTTACATCAAGGAGACGTTTTATCAATCTGAGGCTAAAAGCAAGAGAAAAGAAAGAGCCCTCGCTATTTATCACTTTTATGTCTGAAAAAGCTGATCAAAAGTTGCGACAAAGGTCAAAAATACATGCATGTGAAAACTAGTGATAGAACCAAAGTGTTTAAGAGCTGCAGGTACTATTTAGAAAGATTATATACATAGTTTCACTTTTATTCAGTCTGTTATAGATCTCCAAAACAGGGATAGTCAGATTTTTATAACATACAGTCTTTGCGATTTGCTGATTGCGGCCGCTAAACTTTTCGATTTGGTTTTGGGTTGCAATGAACGGGGTCCTCACATTTGGAGGTGAGCGTGTATCCGCCCAGAGGAGGGGGGTGTCCTTCCACCGCGTCAAACCCAGAGGACACCAGCACGATGTCCGGGGCAAACTCGTTGGCTATGGGCATCACCACGGTCCTGCAAACGTCCAGCAACACAAGGAGTTAGCCTCGAGTGACAGAACTCAGCACAATGGGGAATGTTTATGACGCTGCAGAAAGAGGCGTATTGTGCAAGACATGATGATAGAAATATTGTAAAGCAGTGGTTTCAAACAGCAAATGAATGTAACTTTTTTATTCTGTTATTACATGTTGAATTTTTACGTGCATTTAAGAATGAAATTAAATTATAATTGAGGATTGATTGATAATTTGGTTTTAATTCAAGAAACAAATACAAATTTCAATAATGCAGTGATTATTCAAAGATTCTCTTTTTGTATACGCGTTTTTCTGATATAGTTTTAATTGTTTACCAAAAAATACCATTTTGATCATGGGATTTTATTTAGCATCTGGACTTAGCCTCGAGTTTTTATCTTGAATTTAATAATATAAATGAATATATGATTTTTGACAATCATTCAACTTGTATTTGAATTGTTACGTACATTACTCATAAGTGAATAAAAAAGTCAAAATACCCAAAGGTTTCAACATTCATATTTTTGTATCTATCTATAAAAGAAAGGAACGTCTGTGGGTGTGTGTGTCCAAGCTAATGGATGGTGTCATGCACAAACAACATCTAAAATGACACCACAAAATGGAAAACATAAGAAGAATAGACTCCACAGCAGCGGTCTGTGTGCGCAGTGACATCACCTTTACGAGCGAGTGCACAAGTCGAAGATCGAAACTAAAAGCCAAATCTTATCTAAAGAGGAATTGTATTTGTATTTCACATAAATCCGGTTCAAAGTTTTTGCGAGTGTCACCTCAATTCAATTCAATGTATTTTCAGATTCAGATTCATTTATTTGCCATTTGCAGTAAAACCACATTGGAAAAACTGTGCAAGACTTCCCCAGTGTGCACCAGACAGAGAAGACGGCACACACAGAGCTCTTGCCACGGCGCCATCTTCACATCTTTAGATAAATCACAACAGAGAAAAACATTGTCTATTTTCCAAGCGTACCTGAAGGCTGCCATGTACTCCACGTCTCCCATGGGGGGGTCCAGGCCTCCGGTGAAGGCCACGTTGACGTTGAAGCCCACGCCAGAACCGCTGCCCACCTGTAGGGGGCGACAACAGAGACACGTTTCGGGGTGAGATCCATGAACCGGGAACCTGATGCGTTCACACCGCAACAACCAGGGTTAGATCTCACCTCGTCAGGCGCACCGCTGCCAGGAAAGAAGTTACCGTCGTCATAGCGATGGATGGATAGGTAAAGCACGTTGGGGTCGTCGTAGAACGCCTGCTGGGTGCCGTTGCCGTGGTGAACGTCCTGAACCGAGAAAAATGCACAGATAAAACGCACAATACATTCTGAGGGTTCACAGACTTCAGATTCCCTTTGAGACTTCTGAATGAGACGTCCATTTAGATTCTGTTTACTTCTTTTGAATCTGAATTAGGTTTGGGAGGATTACCCGTTTTACAATTTTTGTTTACTTTTAATGTATTATTTATGCTGGTGCTTTGTGTTCTGGGTGGCATCTCTGACTGCCACCCCCCCCCAGAAATGGATTAAGGGGAAGAAAATGGATGGATGGATGTATTACTAATGCAACACAAAGTAAGGTTCTCAGGCTTAACAAGCAATAAGCAAAAAACTAAACTAAAATAGCATGATTTTTGGTCAAAGTGACAAATCCACCAACCCAGTCCACAATGAGAATCTTGTTGACGTTGAGCCTTTGCTGCAGGAGTTTGGCGGCGATGGCGACCGAGTTGAAGTAGCAGAAGCCCCTGGTGGTGGAAAGAGAAATGGCACGTCACAACTTTGCAAGTTCCTTCCACGTCGCCGTGTTTATGTTTCGCACGAGACACTTGTGGAGTGGATATGAAAAACAAACAGTGCAGGCCCAGAGGCAGCTGGCAGGATGTGTGTGTGTGTGTGTGTGTGTCTTTGTGTGTGTGAGTGTGTGTGTGTGTGTGTGTATGGCGGCGGCGGTGGCCTTACATGGGAGTGCTTTCCTCTGCGTGGTGACCGGGCGGCCGCACTACAGCAAAACCATTCTGCACAAAGACAAACAGACGAGTGAGGACAGTGTCAGGGCAAGCACACTGCAAAAAATTCTAAAATATGAGGTTAAAAAAATGCTTGAATTGAGTGTTTTTATCCTAATTTGAGAACATTCTGACTTGATGAACTGTTGCTTTATTTTCTAAACAAGATAGTTTTATTTCTCCCATTCGCAAATCTTGTTTTAAGGCAGCCAAAATGTGCTCAAATTAAGATACATGTTGCCAAATTGGAGCAACTTTTGCTACCTTTTTGCCGTGCAGACAATTCTAAAGTGCCAAATGTGAAGAGGAAATTTCACAGCTAACATTTTCATGTGTATTTCAAATTGGCCTGTCAGAGTTACAGGTTATGTCTGCAAAAAGCATGTCTAGATAATGTATTTTTTAAACCAAATGGAGATACATTTCAAGCTAAAAAATAAGAAATCTCGAGGGCAACACGCGGGTAGTGGAGTCCCAACAGAAAAATTGCGCATTACACCTTTAGATAAAAGGATAGACAGACATGTGTATTATAGATAGATAGAAAATGGATAAATAGACAGACAGATACATAGATAGATAGATACATAGATAGATAGATAAATAGATAGATAGATGGACTAATCACAGCTACAGAATCTATAATAATTACTTTGAGTTCTCCAGTGGCCACTTTGAAGACCAGCTCCACCACGGAGCCCGCCGCCCAGCGAGCCGCACTGGACGAATGGACCTCGTTCCAAATAGTGTCACTGTCCACCTTCAAAGAGACAGAGGTGTGTGTTAGCATACATAAACGACCAGCCAGACACATGCACAGTAAAGGCGAGCCATGGCGCTTACCCCGACTCCTCCACACGGTAGTCGTACAAACATCGGAGTGATTGAACCTGAGGGGAAGTAAGAATGCTCAATTCAGATTTTTTGCCGTTTGCAGTAAAACCACAACTGTGCAAGAGCCCCTAGTGCACACCAGACAAGCACATAAGTTAAAACAAGCTTGGTAAGAAGATTGTCCCAGATTTTAGCAGCATGAATCTGAAATGCAGCCTCCCCATGTTTAGTCCTGAGTCTGGGCACTAACAGGAGTCCAGTCCCTGTGCTCCTCAGTCCCAGCAGGAGGCCAGTCCCTGTGCTCCTCAGAGTCCGGGCCGGTTCATTACGGATCAATCAATTAAGTCTAACCCTAACCCAATCCTAAACCTAACCCTAGAAGAAGGAATAATAACTGCTTAATAAATACCAATGAAGAGCTAATTAACCATAAAGTACACACTAATTAGCACTTAATTAGTGGTCAATTATTGAGGGCTAAACTAAAGTGTGACCACAAGCTAAAAAGGCGCAATGAAAAATAAACAATTGCCAATGCTGTCATTCACATCCAGCAGGAGGTTTGCAAACGATACGGTGAGTTTGGATAGATTTAGTAGTGGATATAATCTGGGACATATCTGACAGATTAATAAGGAATAATAATGAAAAGAGTGATAAAAGTGGTCTCACAATCAAGTTTCTGTCGGAGAGGGTTTGTTCCGTAGAGCAAGACGTGAGCCTCAGAGTGGACCGTCTGTAGTTCCTCCAGAGTGGCCTTCCTCCCTCGGATACACTGCGACAAACACGACAGCGTTTTGGTGTATTTTCATTAAAGGAGACAGTTTCACTTTTGACTTTTTTTTGTCAGGGAAGCACAAAATATGAGTGAAATTAACTTGCGATTCTTACTGGTGAACGAAATATTAAAAGTAGTGAAGAATCAAACTCAAAGCTAAATGCTAATTGCTATGATCATACGTCATACATGTTATTTACTATTTAAAGCTGGGATACCTAACTTTCAAACCACACACAAAACGTAATAAAATGTATCTAACTTCTCTTGATCTCTGCCCATATATTTTTGTGACATCGATATATAGAATTACTATGATTATGTTTATGTTATGTTCTGGACTATATCTTTATCCACAGCGCACCAACTGAATTTGAAAAGAAAATCTATTGTGTCCACATATAGGCCGCACCTGAATATAAGCTTGTAGTGTTGTAATGTATTAGTTGTAGCAGACCGTTAGCTTCCATGACTCATTCACCTTCTGTTGTGACAATAATAAGTCCATAAACTCTGCTCTACCAACTTTACCACAGTAAAAACACACATATTAGCCGCATCGCTACATAAGCCGCAACACAACCCTGACCCTAACTAGAAAAAAGTAGCAGCGTATAGTTTGTAAATCACAGTAATATGTCTAATTTTACACTTTCACAAGAATTTTTCATAGTTGGGTCAAACACATGTATTATTTATTAAAAAAACCTAAAGTTAGGTCCCCCAGCTTTACATCAAGGATCACTAAGGGCCCCTCACCTCACACTGCGCCCGGAGCCCTGTCTCCTGCAGTCGGGACCATATGCTCTGGATGCGTCCCGCGTGCTCCGGGTGACTGTTGGTGTTCCCGCACATGCACTGGTGCTTCTGCATCAGCGAGTCGTACACCAGGCCTGATGGACACAAGGGCATCAGCAACACACACAGCACTACACAAGAAACACACACTGCAACACACACTGCAACACACACTGGAACACACACTGGAACACACACTGGAACACACACTGCACTACACACTGGAACACACACTGCACTACACACTGGAACACACACTGCACTACACACTGGAACACACACTGCACTACACAAGAAACACACACTGGAACACACACTGGAACACACACTGCAACACACACTGCAACACACACTGCAACACACACTGGAACACACACTGCAACACACACTGGAACACACACTGGAACACACACTGCAACACACACTGCAACACACACTGCAACACACACTGGAACACACACTGGAACACACACTGCAACACACACTGCAACACACAGTGGAACACACACTGGAACACACACTGCAACACACACTGCAACACACACTGGAACACACACTGGAACACACACTGGAACACACACTGGAACACACACTGGAACACACACTGGAACACACACTGGAACACACACTGGAACACACACTGGAACACACACTGGGACACACACTGCAACACACACTGGAACACACACTGGAACACACACTGCAACACACACTGCAACACACACTGGAACACACACTGGAACACACACTGGAACACACACTGGAACACACACTGCAACACACACTGGAACACACACTGCAACACACACTGCACTACACACTGGAACATACACTGCAACACACACTGCACTACACACTGCAACACACACTGGAACACACACTGGAACACACACTGCACTACACACTGGAACACACACTGCAACACACACTGCACTACACACTGGAACACACACTGGAACACACACTGGAACACACACTGCAACACACACTGCAACACACACTGAAACACACACTGCAACACACACTGGGACACACACTGCAACACACACTGCAACACACACTGAAACACACACTGCAACACACACTGGAACACACACTGCAACACACACTGCAACACACATTGGAACACACACTGGAACACACACTGGAACACACACTGGAACACACACTGGAACACACACTGCAACACACACTGCAACACACACTGGAACACACACTGGAACACACACTGGGACACACACTGCAACACACACTGGAACACACACTGGAACACACACTGCAACACACACTGCAACACACACTGGAACACACACTGGAACACACACTGCACTACACAAGAAACACACACTGCAACACACACTGGAACACACACTGGAACACACACTGGAACACACACTGGAACACACACTGGAACACACACTGCAACACACACTGGAACACACACTGCAACACACACTGCAACACACACTGGAACACACACTGGAACACACACTGGAACACACACTGCAACACACACTGCAACACACACTGCAACACACACTGGAACACACACTGGAACACACACTGCAACACACACTGCAACACACACTGGAACACACACTGGAACACACACTGCACTACACACTGCAACACACACTGGAACACACACTGGAACACACGCTGCACTACACAAGAAACACACACTGCAACACACACTGGAACACACACTGGAACACACACTGCACTACACAAGAAACACACACTGCACCACAGGGGGCTCAAAGACCTGACACTGTCCTGTCCCCTCGCCCCTCCCTGTAAATCGCTGCTAACTGAATATAAAATTGCACTTTTAATGAACAGTATTTTTAAATGTATGTGAGTAACTTTGTTGGTCTTTTATTTTTTATTTTTTTATCATTACTATTTTATGTTCCTTTGATATCGTTTAAACACGTTTTTGCAGTTTATATACTTGTATTTCTCATTTATACTTAAATTATAATCTTTTTTATTTCTTATGGAGCAGAAGAACGTTTAATAAAGCTTGTTTGGTTCGTAACATCCGGAAGTTTGACTTTGGTACAGCACTTTAGGCTTAGGGTAAGTGCAATAACACACTGCACTTTAGGCTTAGGGTAAGTGCAATAACACACTGCACTTTAGGCTTAGGGTAAGTGCAATAACACACTGCACTTTAGGCTTAGGGTAAGTGCAATAACACACTGCACTTTAGACTTAGGGTAAGTGCAATAACACACTGCACTTTAGGCTTAGGGTAAGTGCAATAACACACTGCACTTTAGGCTTAGGGTAAGTGCAATAACACACTGCACTTTAGGCTTAGGGTAAGTGCGATTTTAAGGTTCTTTTAATGGTTTTTAAATGTCTTAATGGTCTTGGGCCTTCTTATCTTTCAGATTTGCTTTTATCCTATGAGCCTTCCCGGCCCCTGCGCTCCTCCGGCAGCAGACTCCTAACCATCCCCAAAGTCAGGACACACACTCACGGCGAGGCATCTTTCCAGCACTACGGCCCCCGTCTCTGGAACAGTCTGCCGGAGGAGCTCAGGGTCGCAGAGAACGTTCATATTTTTAAGAGTAGGCTCAAGACGCACCTTTTTAGATTAGCTTTTGATTAGTATTTATTATTTATTATTGCTTTTTAGTACATCTATTTATGTTTTTAGACACATTATATTTTTATTTATTTTATTATTTACTATTTTTAATTATTTATTGTATCTACCCATTTACTATTGTTATTATCAATATTAGGCAGCTGCCATTTTTCTTTTTATTGTCACATTTTATTGTTCTACTTTCTATTGTATTATTGTATTGTTTTAGTGTCCCCAGTGTTTCCTCTGGAGGAGCCCTCTGCACTGAGAGCTGGGGTCTGCTGTGGCTTCGGGGGTCTGGCTCTTGGATCCGGTGGGGGTCTGGGGCCTCCTCTCTCCTCTGGGTCCTATGGGGTCTGAGTCCTGGGCCTGGTGGGGTCTGGGGCCCCTCTCTCCTCTGGGTCCTGTGTCGTTGCCTGTGGCTGCAGCCGGCTCTCTGCTCCTGGTGCAGATGGCTCCTTGGATGACGCTTCTTCAGCCGGTTACATCTGCTCCCAGCCCCATTTCTTTTTATTGTTTTACCTATTTTACCTGATATGACTTTATACTTGTGTATGTGTGTGTGTGTGTGTATATGTGTGTGTGTGTGTGTATATGTGTCTGTGTGTGTGTATATGTGTGTGTGTGTGTGTATACGCATGTGGTTGTATATATAATTATAAATGTGGTTTTGGGGGGTCTGTGGGGAGGAGGGTTTAGGGCTGGGCATGTTGGATTGTTTTTAACTAAACTGTAAAGCACTTTGTGTTACACTTTTTGTATGAAAAGCGCTTTATAAATAAAATTTGATTGATTGATTGATTGAATAACACACTGCACTTTAGGCTTAGGGTAAGTGCAATAACACACTGCACTTTAGGCTTAGGGTAAGTGCAATAACACACTGCACTTTAGGCTTAGGGTAAGTGCAATAACATACTGCACTTTAGGCTTAGGGTAAGTGCAATAACATACTGCACTTTAGGCTTAGGGTAAGTGCAATAACATACTGCACTTTAGGCTTAGGGTAAGTGCAATAACACACTGCACTTTAGACTTAGGGTAAGTGCAATAACACACTGCACTTTAGGTTTAGGGTAAGTGCAATAACACACTGCACTTTAGGTTTTCTCAAGTGCAAGATTGTGCGGTGCTTGCTGGTGTGTGCCATCCTGGTGCACACTGGGAATCCTTGCACAGTTCTTCCAATGTGGTTTTACTGCAAACGTCAAAATAAATTCTTGAATCTCTAATGTTTTTATTTTCCTCTGGTCCTCGAAGTCTCTGATGGTGCTCTGGCCTGGGTCCATTTTCTTCTGTTTAATGTCTAATTTTCTTTTTGTCCCTGTCCCAAGACAAATTTCTCTTACGTGAGACAGTAAAGGAGAATCTTTTCTTCAGGGATGTGTTAAATCCACCTGTTATTTACAAACTTTTACCATAGATATTTTGCCCACACAAAAGAAAAGAGAAAAATACTTCAACGTTGCCAACAATCTGCCAGACATAACCATACGAGACAGCTGCTTACGCCCCAGCTTCTTAATTACTCAAACTAAATTGTGACACACACATACACACACATACACACACACACACACACACAGTATAACGGCGCTAGTGTCGGTCCGTATATCGTTTAAACAAAATGCTAACGTTAGAGGAAGCAGCTTTGCAGGTGTGTGGGAGTGCGGTGGGCCGTGATGTAGCGACGGGCGTGGAAACAAGTCCGTGCAGCTCCAGTGATAACGCCGGTCGTCACTACCGCCGGTGGGAGGAATGCTTTCTCAAGGACGCTTGGCTTTCAATATTTTCCCTCTCTGTTCAAACAATCACATGTCTGAGAGGAAGGAGTGGGAGCAGCCATTATCGAGAACAGGCGCATTTGTTTACCTGCTTTACAATGGATAAGCGCTGCACATGAACTTGGATTTTTTTGGTTTTTTTGGGGTGTGTAATTTTATTTATTGATTTATTAATTTTATTTATTCATGTATTTATTTATTATCTATTTTCTATTTATTCATTAATTTTTTTATTCTGTATTTATATATTATTTTCTCTATTATTATTATTATTATTATTTTTTTTCACTAAAGAATAGCCCCATTGAGATAGATCCTATAATTTTCAAGGGGTTCCTTTGATTTAAGGATATAGCTAATCTGCTCAACAACACAATACAATACAATATTTGAAATGTAGCTCTACATACATACACATACACACACATAAACACATACATACACATACACACATACATACACACACATTATTTTGCCACTCATCTCCAACCCCAGCTTTTCCTAACTTTTTACCTCCAAGTTCTCTAATTCCATTCCGAATGTTTTACTACTTTATACAGTATATTTACAAATGCATAATGTTGCCAAATATAACGGTTAATTAAGAGTTTACTATAACGTGTGTGTGTGTGAGGGGGGGATTGTTGTTGTATACTGACCGGTTGTGAAGCGTGTTTTGGTGGGCGGGTCCGGAGCCGGGACGCTGATGGGGAAGGAGGAGGCTGAGGCCGGAGAGGACTGTGCCCGCGACAGGGGCCTGTGTCCGGGGAAGGACATGGACAGACCGGCTGCTTCCATGGAGGCCTGGTAGTTCCTCAGCTGGTGGATGCGCTGCTGCTCCAACAACAAGGCCTGCTGCGCACACATGAACAACCATCATGTCATTCAACCGCTTCCACACTGAGGCCTGTCTCGAAAACGACAATATCAAATGATTGTTCAATAACTACAAACTATATTCTGGATTTTGGGCCTCAAGATTTATCTTTTTCCTTGTTTTTGCCATTTTTTAGACGGTAGAAGTTTCACTGTGGCTGAATTCCACCTAATCGTGCTCATTATTTTATGATTAGATAGATTATTTACTTATATAAAACTTATATAAAACAATATACAGTGTTTTCACATACATCGAGATAAACGCAACACACATTCTCAGTCCATTTAATACAAGGCAACACAATACAATACAAAGTGCAAGTCAGCAAAGCACATACCAGTATAACACTTCAATAAATAGTATCGCACACACACACACACACGCACACGCACACACGCCTGATCCAAGCCACAGCTGCCCTGGAACACAAGAATGGCTGCCTACAATGAGAAACAAGTCTTTGCAAATGTAGTGGTGAAACTGGGCAAATTAGAATGTTGTTCAAAGGTTCATTTATTTCTGTAATTCAAGTTAAAATGATAAACTAATATCTGACACAGACTCAGTGCCTTTGTTTTCACAGATGTGAACCAATTATCAACATTAAAACTAATGGAAGGCTGGATGTGTCTCACTTTGCCAGTAATGAGTCTGTCATATTTGGCCTTGTTCACACAAAAGAGTACAAAAGTGTGAGAATTAGATTTGAATAATCAGAAGATATATTATGTTTTTCATGTATCCAAATCCCTCCTCTGTCCATTAGCCGAACCAGAAGAGAACAGTTTTATACATTAGCCAAGTTTATACAGTGGACCTGATCCTTTGAATGAGCTGCAAAGGTTTGTTACATATTTTCTGATGTCCACATTTGATTTTTTTGTAGAAATAAATTGATTACTTTCATACATTAAACTAATTAAATGTGATTCCAAACACTCATTTTTCTCTATTGACAGAAACCACCACAACTGTTAAAAAATGTTTAAGGGTCATTAAAATGTTGTGTTAAATGTTAACCTTGTGGTAGTTCATTTTTGTCACTGAGAACCTTTTATTTTCTGAGTCTCTGAGTCAGTGGATCTGGGTTTTCACATTTCGCCAAAAATGTATTTGTCAATCTTTTCTTTGAATTCTATCCACACTATCGTACTTTGATATGTCTTGAGTTTGAAATCGTTTCTCTATTCTATGAGAGTAATTTCAGTTTTTGAGTTATAACCTTTTAAAAGTCCAGATACTTTAGTTGTCACACTTTTCTGTGAACACACATCAGTTTCACATCGAAAAAAAGAAGTAAAGAGACGGTTGAACGAAACAAAAATCTTCAAAATATCATCAGATACATCAAGAGAAAACTAATATTTTATCGGGTTTTTTTGCAGTGTATACAACAAGACTCATACATCTGGCTAAAGCAGGTTGTATGCAGTTACAAGCTGTGACCAGGAGGGGGCAGCTCTGGCAAATAGTTCCCTTCAATGGTTTCACAGAAGAGATAAGAGTTACTTCTCCTGAACAAACTTTTAAAAGCCTTTCTCCACAACCTTAAATAATCACGACGCATAAGTCTTTCTCTTTGGCAGTTCTGTTCTGGTTTTGTCCTCTCGAGAATCAATGTCCCACCAGAAGACTGAGGAGCACGGGGACTGGTCTCCTGGTGGTGCCCGGAATCAAAACTAAACATTTCAGTCTTCCTAAAAATGTGAGGCAGGCCTTTTCTTTCTGGCAATGTTCAAACCCAGGTTTAAATACAATTCTGTTTAGCTTTGCATACAACTGAACGACTGTATCTTTACTCTTTTTAATGTACCGTGATAATGTCTGATTGCGTGCCTTGAATTGTCTTCATCTTGTTCTGTTTTGTGTATGACTTGCCATTTTTACACATTTTCCCAGAACTTGGAAGCACATGTGAGCGTGTTGGCGGGGGTTGGTACCTGTCTGAAGATCAGCTCCTGCTCTCGGTGCTGGTGTAGGGCCTCCTCCTGCAGCTCCTGGGGGTCCGGCGGCTCCTGTTTGATGGTGACCCCCGGGGGCAGGTCCTGGTGCTCCCTCAGCTCCTCCTCCGTCTCCTCCGGGTGACTCTGGTGCTGACGGCCCACCGGAGACTCGCTGGGCTTGGACATCATCTGAAACCCACAGCACTTCAGGGTTAGCATCATGTCGGTATGCGCTGGTCACGGACTGAAAAACGGTCTTGACTGGCATCGTGCTGTTCCGAGCTTTAAAATGATCTATAACAGAGCTGAAGTTGGCTGAATGACACATGTTTACCAGCTCACAAATCAACGACGGAATTCCAGACGTACTGAGCTTTAGAAAGACATGTCTCTATTGGCTGAGCTGAAGTTGGATGGATGACACAGTGAACTTGTGTTTTGTGATCTCAAAAGACTACTTTGGGTTAGCAAGGCAGAGGGCTGCATGAAATGACACTGAGGGCCGCAATTGGCTCCAGGGCCTGAGTTTGGACACGCCTGCTGCAAATGTAAGCAATGCCATCAAAACACTGCAAACATGACAATATAAAAATAACAAAATATATTATTGAATATTTCATCATTTTTCATTATTATTTAATGAAATCAAATATACCAAATATGGATGCTGTGTGTGTGTGTGTGTGTGTGTGTGTGTGTGTGTGTGTGTGTGTGTGTGTGTGTGTGTGTGTGTGTGTGTGTGTGTGTGTGTGTGTGGCATCAACCGGCCTATTTTATTTCAACCTTCACATCTGGATTAAATGTAATAAGTAAGAGAAGAGAAGTTTTATTTGTCCGACAGTGGGGAAACTTGAATAATAGTCTGTTTAATCACCATTCGAGCACATGCACGGAGGAGCTAACCCAAGCTAGCCTTTATGTGACAAAAATGTATGAACTTCACATATGTATCTTAGGTTGACCTAGATTAGATCAATGTTATTTTTGCTGTTGTAAAGAAACGTCCGATTACAGATAACAGGACATTTACGCTGCAAAAAGTGATGAATAATATTAAGATGTTAGAAATGGCTCAGATATGGCATCATGTATCTTAATTTGAGCCTTTTTTGACACTTTAAAATTGACTCATTGAAGAAAGCAATGTTTTTTATAGGAGCACAAATAACAGATGTTTTTTATTATTATTATATATTACTATTATTATTATTATTATTATTATAGGCCTCTACAAAATGGTTGAGATGCAGTTTGATGGTAAAGTGCCAAAAACCAAGTGATAGAGATGCCCCAAAAAAGGTAGATTAGTAAATAAAATCTGGTTTTAACGCAGTCAGAAAGACAAAATCCCCTCAATTCCAGCAATTATTACCTCATATTTTATCATTTTTGCAGTGTATACCATGGCATATATACTGTCAACAGGGAAAGCCAAAGGACACGCATAAGGACATGGACTCAGAAGCTGTAAACTGTAAATCCGGCCACATCATGATCTGAAAGGCTTTCTTATAAAACATTTTATAGCTGTAATGTGTGGATTCCAGTAAATATCCTAATGAGAACTACACGAGCTCAGGATGAAAGAGCCTGACCAATAATGACCAATAATGACCCATGGGCTGAGCTGCGGTCAGTACGTTTGTGTAAGTGTTGAATTCAAGCTAGCGTCATAAAAGATAATTACCACGTGAATTATACTTTACAATCGGAACAGCAGGACATGACAAATCCTCTGGAGGAGTGTGAAGTCCACGCACACCACCATTTGCTCTCATTTCTGGCAAACGCCGCCATTTCTCTGGAGCATTCGTCTCCTAACAAGCTTAATTTGGATTATGGAGTCCAAATAGAGTGCGACTCATTTCTCACTATCTGTTGTGATTGAACGTGTCCGATCCGCTGACGGGACGAGGGGGAGAAATGTGTGGTAGAACGGAGACATTCCTGGGATCCTGGGGCGAGGAGAGGGGACTGGACTCTTCTGCTCTGACTGAGAGTGAGAGAGCAGTCACAAGGGGAGCGTGGCAGGCAGCTACAGGTGTGTGCATGTGTACGGCCTGTGTGTGTGTTTCTCAGAGCGCTGAGCCTCAGGGGCCCTTGGATCGGGGCCATGGGACAGCATTGACGTCAGAGCCTTCAGCAGCCCTTCCCCCTCCTCTGTTCTGCTCTTCTTAAGCAAACTTCACAATAAAACTCCCTCTGCTCCACTTTCAACTCTTCGTAGCTCAAAATGATTCAAATGCATGCCCTCTGAAGGCAAACTTTCAAGAAAGATATATTTATCCAAAGGCTCCTCCGATGAAGGGTCTGCTCTAGTGAAGGGCCTCCTCTGGGGCAGGGCCGTGGCTCTAGGACCACTGCAGCTGGACGTACAAAGCTGATACTAAGTGATTAATGAAAGAGTTTTACCCACAACAAAGCAACCTCATTCTGACTGGAGATCCTGGCACATGTGAAAAAACTGAATGTGATGTCACAAACAGCACTGACTTTTTATGTGGGAGCCATGTTCAAACAGAATAAAGAACATGTGTTGTAAACTAAACTTGTGGATCTCACTTTTAGTCCAGCTGCTGTGGATGTAGAGCCAAAGTGGAGCTCCACATCTGCGGCCAAAAACTAAATCTTCTTTATTATCCTGGGAACATTTTATTAATACACAATAGCTACATGGTTACGTTGGGTTTAAGGTTCAATAGTTCCACACCAGAAGTGATGAGAGTCGGATTTTCTTTTAATAACTGCATTGAATGGTTCAAGAAACTGCTGAATGTGTCCTTGGAATACCAGCGGCTGTTACAGATGTGTGTGTGCTGCCACTGGAGCAGTGCGTAGACATGGTGGGAAAGAGCAGAGAGAGAGGAGAGAGAGAGGAGGGAGAGAGGAGAGAGAGAAGAGGAAGAGAGGAGAGAGACAGGAGAGAGAGAAGAGAGAGAGGAGAGAGAGAGGACAGAGAGAGAGGAGAGAGAGAGGAGAGAGGAGAGAGAGAGCAGAGAGAGAGGAGAGAGCTGAGAGAGAGGAGAGAGAGAGGAGGGAGAGAGGAGAGAGGAGAGAGAGAGCAGCGAGAGAGGAGGGAGAGAGGAGAGAGCTGAGAGAGAGGAGAGAGAGAGGAGGAGAGAGAGAGAGAGAGAGAGAGAGAGAGAGGACAGAGAGAGGACGGAGAGAGAGAGGAGGAGAGAGAGAGAGGAGGGAGAGAGAGAGGAGGGAGAGAGAGAGAGCTGAGAGAGAGGAGAGAGAGAGAGGGAGAGAGAGGAGAGAGAGAGAAGGGAGAGAGGAGAGAGACAGGAGAGAGCAGAGAGAGAGAGGAGAGAGGAGAGAGAGAGCAGAGAGAGAGGAGGGAGAGAGGAGAGAGCTGAGAGAGAGGAGAGAGAGAGGAGGGAGAGAGGAGGGAGAGAGAGGAGAGAGAGAGGACGGAGAGAGAGGAGAGAGAGAGGAGAGAGCCGAGAGAGAGGAGAGAGAGAGGACGGAGAGAGAGGAGAGAACAGAGAGAGGAGAAAGAGGAGAGATAGGAGAGAGCAGAAAGAGAAGAGAGAGCAGAGAGAGGAGAGAGAGAGGAGGGAGAGAGGAGAGAGCAGAAAGAGAAGAGAGAGCAGAGAGAGGAGAAAGAGAGGAGAGAGACAGGAGAGAGCAAAGAGAGGAGAGAGAGAGGACGGAGAGAGAGGAGAGAGAGAGGAGAGAGCCGAGAGAGAGGAGAGAGAGAGGACGGAGAGAGAGGAGAAAGAGGAGAGATAGGAGAGAGCAGAAAGAGAAGAGAGAGCAGAGAGAGGAGAGAGAGAGGAGGGAGAGAGGAGAGAGCAGAAAGAGAAGAGAGAGCAGAGAGAGGAGAAAGAGAGGAGAGAGACAGGAGAGAGCAAAGAGAGGAGAGAGAGAGGAGAGAGAGAGGAGCGAGTGGAGAGAGAAGAGAGAGCAGAGAGAGAGGAGAGAGAGGAGAGAGCAGAAAGAGGAGAGAGCAGAGAGAGAGGAGAGAGAGGAGAGAGCAGAGAGAGAGGAGAGAGTGGAGAGAGAAGAGAGTGGAGAAAGAGAGAGAGAGGAGAGAGCAGAGAGAGAGGAGAGAGAGAGGGGAGAAAATCCCTTGTTTCATCGGCTGCAGTGATAGATATATTTACAGCAATGGCAGTTCACTTCCTTTCTGACCATATATGGCACAACTTCCGTCTAGTTGCTATGGCAGCGCGGCAGTTGCTGCCCATAGCAACTGTTTCATGGCTGAGCTGTGGTCACAAACACTCGTAACACAGCGTCCCTCCTCCGCGGCTTCACGGCACACGTTACAGAAACCAATCAAACTCTTAATGCAGGCTACCATTGGCCCTCAGCTCTGGCCCCTGTGGCCCCCAGGACCAACAAGCTATTAGCTTATCTGATGTAATGTCACATGTGCTGCTGCTACAGCCTCTACTCCACTGCACAGAACAAACAGCTCTAATAATGATGACACTGAAAACAATGCACCGATCTGAGACGCCGCTCTCTGGGGAACTCCAGCTAAATGAATGGCACAAAGTGTTTTTAATCAAAACATTTACAACACTTTTGATGACTGCGAGACTTAAATTGTGAAGATAAGTGAATCCTAATGGGTTGATGCAGGGTTTTAGGCTTTAGAGGCTTTAAAGAGTCTTTCAGGTTCTTGCCTACAGCCCACCCGCTGAGGCGAAGGCCAAAACAGTCATTTCACCTCAGCCTGGACAGAGAGGTTGTTTTAGCTTCGCAGGTGCCAATTAGTTTGTTTGTGTTGTATATAACACACTCACAGGTGAAAAGGCTGTGTGAAACACAACTAAATACAGGTTTAAAAGAGCGGGGGTGTAATGCAGTTGGGAAACTCGCTATAAAAGAAATAGGTAAAATTATAATGTGTTGTTACATATGCACTAGAATTAGACAACTAGTGTTTTCATGGCTGATGCCAGAAGAGATTTCTGACTTACTATGGCATTGTTAATCCCAAAATGTACATTTAAAATGACTTGTCTGCTCTCCTTTCTTTTACAGGGTGCAGGGTTCCCCTCGCTACAGTGTATTCTGTATTGCTAAAGTGCAATTATCATCCTGACAGACTGGTCATAAAATATTGTTTTTCACTATAGTAAAACAATATATTCTCTAAATGGCTTAAGTGTCTAAGGCGCAATAGAACAGGGTGTGCACCTTGTTGATGTGTAGCTGCTGCTGCTGGAACTGCTGCTTGTGCTTCTCCAGGAACTGCTGGTGCTGCTGCTGCACCACGAGCTGCTGCAGGGCCAGGGCCTGAGCATGGGCCTGAGCGCTGCCCTGAGGCAGAGGGGCCGACTGAGTCCTGGCCAGAGGCCGGTGCTGCCGCTGGAGTTTAGCCATGGAGGCGGCCGGTGACATGGACAAGCCGCTCACACCTACGGAGAGAGAGAGGAAGCTGAAACCTAAAACCATGAGTGAATAATCCTGTCTCTATGGAGGGTGCAGAGTGCTCATTTCTCAAGAAAACAGGAACAGAGAAGGCTTTGTCTCACAATAACATGAGCTGTATGCTTCTTATTGTACATTCAATCAAGTCTTAAAAGCTTTCTGTATGCACCATGGGCACTAGGAATCTGATCCATCTGAGCTGTACCATAGGAGACAAATCAAAAGAATGTCTGCTTTTTCATTTAGCACTAGTGTTTCAGGTTAGCTTCACTCACTCATGTTATAAACTGACAAAGCTAATTTTCATGTTGACTTTTCAGTTGACTTTCCAAAAGAGTTGGCAGAGTAACTTTCAGGAAACAATATTGTGTGCAGTCTCCACACAGTCACACATGGCTCTGTAATCTGGTTTTGTGCTGGTGTTGGACCTAAGATTAGTAAGCAGATGTATTTGTGAACCAAATAGAAACTGCCATCTGTGCAACCAGACTGCAGATTTACTATTATATGATTCAAGCTGTGCAGGGCGAGGTCCAGTCGGGCTACGAAGACAAATACACATAAAAACTGTAAAAATAACTTAATCATCGACACAAAAAGCTAGTGTCTGATGGTCGTTTATCGATGCGGCTGTAGACTTCTTATTGCTCTTCTCATTGTGCCTCGTGGCCTGTGTGGGCGAGCACTTGCCCTCCTGCTTACTGTACGTTTTGTGCACACACACTTTTGTGCGTATGTCTGTGCGTCACTGGTCCATTCACTGAAAATAGCAGCAATGGGCCAGTAAATGAATGAGCGGATGGGAAAAGCAACACAATGAGCCGATGTCAGTGTCTCATAGTGGCACAGGGACATATGAAAGAAGCTTGTTAGTTTGAGCTAATGAATGAGCGTCTGTCTGGAGCACAGTGTACCAGCAGCAGGGTACATCTCTCACCAACAGAACATTCTAAAAGTCCACAGACCATGACTAAATGTGGCTCTCTATCTGTAGTGTAGATGCTTTTGAGTTGTGTTGGCACCTGTCACCAGCGGGCTCTGTGCTGGGCTCTGCTCCATCAGCACCATGTGTTGAAGCAGGGGACTGTGGCCGCCGTGTCCTGTCCCAGCGCCGGGCTCCAGGTAGGGGGTCAAATGGCCACCTGTGAGGAAGGGAGGGCTGAGGGAGAGGGCCGGCTGTATCCCCACCTCCTGCTGCACTGAAGTCACCTGCAAGGACAAAGACACACACTCACACAAGCTGCCTTCATTTGGACTCTCATTTTTCATTTCCAGTCAGAGGAAGGAGAAAATGTGATGTGGAATATTTGGATCAGGAAAAACACTAGATTTGTTTTGACATTAATCAACACTGACGGACCTTAGCAGCAGACATAGTTGCGACATGAGCTCCTGAATACAGTTGTATAGTTGTATCTAGTATGGTAAATATGTATCAAAAAGATTACACTCTCAAAACAATTTCAAAAACACGCTTAGAAATATTGCATTTATTAGATCATATTTCGGCTTTAGCATTTAAACAACATTTTGGATCATCTATTTTGAGTGTGCAATGTTGTCTTGTTTTTGGAATAGTCTTTTTTATAAATATATACCACACATAATTTAACAATAAACCAGATAGAAACACTTTTTTTTGGCTCCAACTGCTCCTGAATGTTATACATGGACTTTCTAAAGATTAATCCATTTCAATTGCACATAAATAATTGCAGTCCGGCCACACAAAGATAAATGAAAGAAAAGCTGTGTATTTTGCCTGCCTCTTTCTTAATCATGTACAATACACACACACACACACACACACACACACACACACACACACACACACACACACACACACGACTTTGTTTTGTAATTGCATCTATTCTCCCCTTGTTCCATTGATTCCAGTTCAGTCATCAGCACAAAATAATTACTCATGGCTGTAGTCATCATTTCAGTCAATGAGAAAAAATGCAACTTCGCCCATGATCTCTTTTGATGACTTCCTCATCACAAATCACGACAACGGTGACGCAAGCAACAACTGCGCCAAAACCTAAACGCAAAAAACGGAGCCGTATAGATGTTTGTGGTCTTACGTTTGAGGCTGCGGTGGCCGTGGCGGTCGCGGGCAGGCCCAGGGTGATGTTGGGGAGAGATGGCGAGGTATAGAGGGACAGTTGGCTAATGGAACCTCGCTCTGCATTACAAAGCCTCTGGGCCAGCAACGCCTGAAACAAAAAACAAAAAAAACACATTATTAAATTATTCATGTCTCCGAGTGTAAAGATACACAACAACACATCGCTGAGGAGTGGGAGAAGCCAGACAGCCACCACCAGCCTCCTCCTCCTCCTCTTCCTCCTACATGCTGCTGGAGTGGCCCTAATGGCTGCCACCAATAGCAGCGTGCCAGCGTCTCCTCCGCCTCCTGCTCTGACCGCCATCTGAAGATTCGCAGTCTTTGGGCGCAATTTTGTCGGCTAGCACCTACAGAGGCGAGTCAATCTCTGGTGTCGAGGTGTGGAGTGTTGTAGCTAGTGGTTTTGAGTGGAATTTGGAATGAAATGAATCGTGTGTAGCCACCATTATAAAAAAGGACACGGACGACGCAGCAATACAGTGGCAGTAAAACAGAACAAATATAGAATTATTAGAAGCGGATTAAAACAACGTGATTTTGAAATATTGCTCAAATTTGGCTATATGTATCTTAATTTGAGCACATTCTGACTGCCTTATAACAAGATTTGCCAAAGGTAGGTACCCTGGCTTTATCAATACTAAACGTTGCCAAAACCTCATTTCGATCACATTTCATGCGTTTTGTGAATTGTAGAGAAGTTATACAGAATCAGAATCATTTTTATTGCCACGTAAGTAACAGGACTTTACCTCAGTGTTGTTGGACATGGACACAGTGATGCCGTTCTCGTTGGGGATGTTGTTGGAGCTGTTGTTGGGAGAGCTGGGGCCAGAGCCGGGTGCGCTACTACACGCCGAATCTGGAAAAATACGTAAAAAATAAAACATTCAATCACTTTTGGCGGTTAATTTTACACAACAGGGAGGATTCAAGTTATATATAGATAGCTAGATAGATAGAAAAAAAGTTTTAAAGCCAGTTGTGATCGTCTAACTCTGAAATATCAATACTTTTTGTGGTGGTATTAACAGAGCCTATTTCCGTGCGTTTGTGAAAAAGCAGTGGTCAAAAGTGTAGGCTATTTTTGTTCATAATATTGGTCTATCATGGAAAAGAAATCAATAACAGGATGGAACAGTCGTTTTTCAATGTTTACACTATATCTTGTGACCTGTGCTTCTACGTTTAGTGTGTTCAAATACAGAAAGGGCCTCTTCTAGTCTTTGTAAATCATTTATAAGTTCTGTCCCCACATACAAACACAAACATGCACACACACACACACACACACACGCGCACATATATCGGTAAAAAGCCCTCTCCATAGCTCCACTAGATGCTGTCATGTTATTTTTCTCACAATTCTCAAACATTTGCAAATTCATTTCAATACCGCAGACACAATTAAAAATATTTGAGCTGATTGCGTGTGTTTTTTGTGCCGGAGTAAGTAAGTATGTTTAAATATATAGCGCATTTTTACAGACCAAGGTCACCCAAAGCGCTTTACAATGTTCAGAGTTCAGTTTTTTTCTCTCCACACGATGTTGACAGAAGCGAGACGTGAACACAATGGACCATCAAAGCCTCCGACCAAACACCCTCCACTCACTCAATACAGTCACACCTATTGTACATGTTTTGTACAAACCGGAGCACTGGGAGGAAACCTATGCAGACATGGGGAAAACATGCAAACTCCACTCAGAGAGACCCTGTTCCGACCGGGATTCGAGCCCAAAAACGTTCTTGCGGAGAAGCGAGAGTGCTAACAACTCAGCCACCGAGGTTGAAGACAGTAGCGTGAAAATGTCTCCTTTAATTCGTAGTAAGTGCAGCTGTCTGTCTCTGTTGGCCTCACCTGCCATGTCCAGCGAGCGCTTTTTGGCCGATGTTATGGGACTGTCCCGCCGCCGCAGGAGGGGGCTGCTCCGTCGCTCCACCTTCTGCTTGAGTCGCGAGCGTAGCTTCAGGTTGGGCTCCGAGGCTGCACACACACAAACACAAACAAAGACAGTTGTGAGGACCCCTGAAGATACTACAGACGTCTCAGCAGAACCCAGGAAGCGGATCTGGGAAGTGTTTGGGATTTTTGTACTGTTATGATCTGATTGATCTGATTACTAAAACAAGGCAACAAATGGAGAAAGAAAAAGAAAAAAATAACATTGTTAACGAGAAAGCTTTTGTAAACAAGAACATATAAATCTCAAAGGATTTGTTCTGGTTCCAGTGCAGAAGTGGGCCGTCAGAAAGTTAATTTGTAAAAACACAATTGCTACATTCTGGGAGCAGATTAAAAGCTACTGTAGTTTTAAATTATAGCAAAATAATAATGATTTGATAAACAAAACTATTTAGAAAAAAGAAAGAGGGAAACAAAATATCCAGTGTTTTTTTTATACGTCCATAGTTTAGTTTGTTACAATTTTACAATATCGGCGGTATTTTGACATGGCAGTAGTTTTATCTGAACACATTAAGTTTTTCTTGGATGGAACCAAAACCAAAGGTAAAGATGGTCAGGTATTGTAGACAAATATACAGATTCATGCTTTCAGTTACTTATACCTCATTATGTTTTGAAATTATGTGGATGTTTTTTTTTTAATAACAGTTTTAAAATAAGGTACCACATGTCATAGCACCATACAGTATAATACAATGCCATGAATTCTAAATAGGGGCTAAATAAAGTGCCTCTGGTTTGTGGGTAGAGAGATGTGGGTAGAGTCCATGGGCCGCATAGAACCGTGAAAAGGGCCGTGTGCTGCCCGCGAGCCGTGATTTGCCCAAGTCTGATCTCGGAGTAAAAAGTCTTCATTTTTTTTTTTTTTGCACCCACAGTGAAATGTTTTTCAGATCTGTTTTAGAGCAATAATTATGCGTGTATTTCGAGAGCTCTCTGTACTTACTGTTTAACACTTGAGAATCTTAGTGTTCACTTCGTTGAATTAGATAAAAAATAAGAACGCTAACAATTTGCACTAAAGGCGTTAATGAAATGCATTTGAAAACAGGCTATTTAGCAGAAATGGAGATTTTAATGAAACCTAAAACGTTCGTAATTGTTGTCAATGCCGTCACACCTGGGCCTCATTATCACAGAGTGTTCACTGTAAAAACAAAAAAGCCCTTCCATGCCTCACAGTGCATTTGGTTTGAAGAACACGACTCCACCTTTCAAAATGCCAGACTTTTCTTTCATCTATCGTCTTTGTTTGCCTTTGTGGCTTTGTGTTGTTTGCCAGATCCTCGTCCTCGGCCTTGTTCGAACAGACAACAGTTTGAAGGGATCAATCGGAGGAGGCTGGGAGAGTTACCTGGGCCACAGTCTCACCAGTCTGGCTTGGCTCCGACGTGAACAAGACATCGATTTTTGTCCCGACACATTGCACAAAGTGTGTCAGATACAAAGTGAGAATTTATTTGCCATTTGCAGTAAAACCACATAGGAAAAACAGTGCACGACTACCCCAGTGTTAGCCTGGTCGTACCACACCATAGTACAAATTACATTTCGTACTAAGGTCTGGCTTTGCTCCATTGAGCTCCGTTAACAGGTGGGAGGGGTTAACTCCTTTTGCAGATTGAAACGATTGGATCTGAGTTTACCGTGACGTATGTAACGCACCCGAGTGAGTCGATAGCATTTAGCCTAGCCGTCTCCTTTGCCGCTAACGAAACCCATGGGGAGTAGCGCCACAATCTTTGCCAGCGAATACATTTGCTAAACATTCCTCTTGCTCCAGCTTCAATATCTTGATAGAACCAGAACAGATTACTTTACTATAGCATTCTTTGCCATTGCCAAACTACAACCAGCCCGTTCGGCGCAAACTCTTGACGTCACCCACATCTAACTACAACACCCGCCTCCCACGCTCGCTGATTGGTTGATTGGTCGGATGGGATTCAACCAATGAAATTGCAGACGCTGGGACTAGACCCGGACGGTAAAAGCAGGGAAATGAAGATTGACCGGAGTTTATGGATGGCTAAGGCCAAGCTGTGTTCACATACTCTTTTTGTTTCTTTTTTTTTATTAAACAAACATTTCATCTTCAGTGCAAATCCTCTTGTCCCTCGTCTCTGTAAAGACCTATCAGCGCGATCTTTTAATTCACAAGTTCACAGTGACAAGAAAAGCTATTCACTCCAATTTGGGCGCTGTGTCTAATTGCAGAAAAAAAAAAAGGCTTTTGTGAGCGCAGACGAGCAGACGGGAACAGGATGTCACCTTCCCCGCAGCCACCAAAGCTAATGCGCTGTTTACTTTGCCCTGCCAATCGGACGCCTTAGATCGGTTTAGTCTTCATTATCCAATTTTTAATCATCACAGGAGGGTCGCGTCCAAACACACTCCGTCACTTGCCCTTATTACGACGAGGCTTTATCTTTGTGCCGTGGAATAAAGAGGCAGTGTCTAACCAAATGAACTTTTCTCTCCGGCTGGTGGCAGGTAAAGATAACAGAGCGGAGAGAGGGGCAGAGGAAGGTCAGCCCTGAGAGTGGATTTGCACCAGTCCCAAAAAGATGAAAATCCACTTTGCAAAAACGATGAGGGCTTTTTGAGGCGCGCTCTGTCCCCGCGTGCAACACATTTCACTTTTAGATTTTTACACACGGCGGAGGCTGGAAATGTGGGTCAGCGGCATGAGAGTGACTGGAGCAAGCTCGACTCCAACCTCCAGATTTGTTATGAGACTAATCTATATTCTATTAGTTTTCTTTTGCAGATATACATTAATCAAATAAACTTCAGTGATTATAAACTACTGACCTCGGAAAATTAGAATATTGTCCAAAAGTTACATGGAAAGAGACCAAGACTTTGTTAGTGAATTATTTTATGACTATGGCAAACATTTCATAATCAATATTCTAAAATTCTGGGATGTTTTATTTGGGTTTTTTTACAAGTTATGAGGCAATTACAAAACATTATAACAAATAAATACATCTCACTGTGTCCTGAGCGCACTCACAAGGCAATAACGATGTGATATAATGACACGGACCATTAAATAAATAAATAAATATAGTAGTAATCTTAAGACATTTTATGAAGATGTATCCATGACTTTACCTATTTTTTTTTTAAAGCCAATTCCTAGTTTGTGACTTCCTGTTACTTACTGTACAATTGCAATAAAAATATTTCTTTGCGTCTCCTGAGTTTGCCACACAATAGTTTATTAAGTAAACGGACTTTTGAACAATAATCTCGTTTGCCGTCTTTAAAAAACTTGCAACCTGAACAAGTCCGCGGCCCTCATTTGGCAATCTTCAATTCTATCCATCGGACCTAAATTGCGTGAAGGTGTGAACAATGTGGGCCGGTCCACATTCTGTCCAAAGCCAAACCAAACTCTTTATTATCACCGCACAATGCCGTGTCACAGCTAAAACAATGTGCCGCTCATTTGCACTGAGGCATATCGGGCCTTTTGTGATGCACGCACACACACAAACACACATTAACAAACACACGCACACACGTATTCCCAGTAATGTGTGGACCAGCCTACAGCGCAGTGCCGTGTGAAGGCCCCTGCCCCATTCCAAAAGCAGCCACCGACAAAAGCACACGAGAAGAGGTGTTGACCTTTCCCATACTGTACTTTCTGCAAACAAAATGAGAACATCCCATGACCGAAACAAGAAGCTGCTTTATGTCAGAACCAACACGCAACCCTCCCTCCTCACGCAACAATGACCAAACTAGGACCCAGATTATACACAGATTATATAGCCCAATATCAACACTATAAGATAAAATATTAAGTCATAAATGCTTGAATCAAGTGGTTTTTGTCTGAGTTTGAGCACATTTGGAATGATTTAAAGCAATATTCTCCAATGGGTCAAAGCCGTTTAGTCTCATTTAAAAAACGATTGCTTTATTTTCTCATTCCAAGACAGATATTTCTTAGTATCTGTTTAAAGCAAGATTATTTTGCTTTGTCCCATTGGAAAATCCTGTTTTGAGGCAGTCAGAATGTGCCCAAATTAAGCTATATTTCGCCAAATTTGAGATTATTTTGTACTCCATCACTTTTTCCAGTGCATATACAGAATCGGCATCAGCAGATTTTTGTATATTCTTCATCATATTTTTTTTATAGTCAAAACATTAGTCTAACCCAGCCCAGTGACAACGCAACTAAGAACAAACATTTTCTCGTCTACAGCACTTTACAACAGAGATCAAGATGGAGACAAGCTAAACAGATCCGTCTCTAACCTGGATTAGAACAATATCCGAGAAGAAGCCCGTCTCACATTTTCATTTAAAAACACACTTCACTTGGATAAAATCGCACCAAATATAAATCAGCATCAATCTAAATTACATCCAGTTTGTGCATTGATTATTATTTTACCGGTATCGTATCGGCCCTGCAAAAAAAAATCAATCTCGCTCTACCCCTGCTGGAAACGCAATTGACAATTTAATAATAATAATAGTTAATTTGATGCTCTGTGGAGATCTAAACCAAAATGTGATTGATTTTGAATTCCCGTATTCTCTCTTTTGCCAAGCGAGTGGAACCAAAGGCTGCCGTTGTCCTGTGGCGGTTGCTGGGAGCTCTTTTGGGGCCGGTGCGATGTTTTACGGCCAAGCGGTGATATAAAAGCGCCTCTAACCTCTCCCCGGCCGACATTACCATAAGCAAACCCTCCGAAGCACGTCATGGCTGTGGGCAAATATCACAGGGTGGCTCTGGCCCTCTGCTGCAGCCGCCACCCACAGTCCCCAGCCTGGCACAGCCCCAGGGACGGTTGGTATAGCTCGGTATCTTTAAATAAAAGTCTGTTCAAAAATGTGCGAATTGTGGCCATTGGTGATTGTGCCAGTGCCTTCACACCTTCGCCACCTCCTTTGCTCTGCATTTAATAAGAAACCGATACTCCCTCCAGGCCCGGCCTCAAGAATTTTTCCAAACACGAGTCTTAGCGGGGTGAAAAAACAAAAAACTCCTTCACGTTGCATATGAACGTGTGTTACTTTTATACTTGTCTTTTTTGGTCTTTGTTAAGGGTTGTACGTCCACATTATCCACTCTTACGCAGACACTAGGGACGAGAGAGGTTAAGTGTCTTGCCTCAGGACACAACCGCAGCATTCATAAGCGAGCAAACCCGTGCGTCCGCAGATCTGAGAGCTTATCCAGGCTTTATAGATGTCACAGACGGAATTTTTAGATCAGAAATCACACATTGTACCAACTCCTACAGTGACAGATGTTAAGGCCTGGGCACGCAGACAGTGGCTCATACAAGAACTTACTGGATTTGTTTGCATATTCTCATTTGCCTGCTCTGAGTTTTGCATACTGTGCTATGTTTAGATTACCAACAGTGCACGACAAGTAAAGGAGGTGGCGAACTTCAAACTAAAGCATAATAAATACTGCTGCTGAGAATAGCCAGAGCAGCCTTAACATTTACTGATGTCAGCTGCTGATAGAGTGAGCATAGGTTCTATCCGTCATATAATGGGCCACTAATTTGAACTCTTCTTAAGGAATCAGGAACTCATTAGAAACCAAATGCGAGGCGCTAAACAAGTGTTGCTAAGATTAGATGACATCGTTGAACTCTTGTTTGTTGAAGAAGACAAGGAGTAATAACAGTTGAACTTCAGGCCTTTGTCACACTTTGTCACACAGACAGACTCCAGTGTGACAAAGTGTTCTGAGGGTTATAGAAGAGTGACATGTACCGGTCTTTCTCAGGGGGAAGTCGTCCCGCGGGTTGTAGACGCCCAGTACCGGGTGGTTGTAGGTGGACATGCCGGTCTGAGGAGGGGAGCTCTGGTCCAGCGAGCTGTGCTGAGTTTTTCTGTAATAACACAAAGTGTAAAGACACACAATAGCAGAGACCACACACGGCCGAGCCCTGATCACTCAGACATGTGACCAAGACGTAATCTCCACAGTAACTAACTTCATGGCTGTCATGGATGTATGATTAAAGCGTCATACAAATCCTTTGGCGAGGCTACACACGTCCTGCCATCTGCTCACTGCAGCAGAATAAGGTGCTTGTTGTAGGCAAAGTTAAGCCTATTGGCAAACTCCCAACTGCATGTTCCTGACAAGTCCATGTACACACGTTTGTCTGCTCCAAGAGAGAGCAGATCGTTCCATCACTAGAGAATATTTAGATTTACTGTGGGAGGGACAGAAGCAGCTCTTTGTATCAGTAAGCTTTAGCAAGATCTGCCCGAGCAGTGGGCTTATGGACCATTAAACCACTTTCACAGCAGGTGCTGTGCTCACACAAAGTCATGTTTGATGAAAATGTGAAAAAGAGTTGTAATGCAATTGTGTTTTACTCCAGGTTTTACAAACTCCATAATTACTCACATGATGAATCCGCATAATGACACACTACAGAGAGACTCTGTGGAGATTGTACTATAATTCAAGGCCAAACGTCTGATGTGAAAGCCCTATCATCAGGTTTCAATATCCTGCCCTCCGTGCGTGTGCGCGTGCGTGTGTGTGCGCGTGCGTGCGTGTGCGTGCGTGCGTGTGTGTGTGTGTGCGTGTGTGTGCGTGTGTGCGTGCGTGCGTGCGTGCGTGTGTGTGTGTGTATGTGGACTCCATCTTTGTTTCATAAGTGCCTCAGTGTGGCAGGTGAGTCCTGAAGCCCACTGACAGATGAAAACACAGCCATACATTATTTATATGCAGTTGGGAAAAGAATTAGCATCCAAACTTTTAATGATGTGCTGTTAGCATCAAGCGCTCTGCTGTTCAGCTCTATTACTCTGGATCAGCACATAACTGCAGCCGTAGGCTCTAATTGTCTCTCAGTGTGCACTGTGCGCTGGCTTCACAGGAGACATATTGATTCTCCATCCATGGGAAGCAGGTGATGATGTCAACTCTCTGCTTGACATTATAATGTAAACCTCCAACCGAGCTAACGGCCAGCTCCATGCTCCTCTCGGCTCAGCGTGTGCGCTGAAGCACAGCCGCCGCACTCACCGGTACCAGTAGGGGGCGTCGTTAGGGAGACCTCCTTGGTTGAGACTCCGCTGAGCCAGAGCCTTCTTCTTATTGAGGACAAACTCCTGGAGACGCATCTTCACCTCAGTGCTGGCGACTGCACCTGACGGAGACAGAAAGATCTATTATCACCTGTGTGTCCCATAATGAGGACTATATGAGGGCCCCCAGGGCCCCCAGCCCCCCCGAACAGCTCTTGAAACTAAAGCCAGAACAAGTAAACCCACTTTGAATCTGAGCTGGAGGTTGTCACTCACAGGTAATTGGCTCTTCCCTTGAAGCCTCAGGGAATTATACTGTTGCCAATGTTTTTTTGAATAAAGTCCATCTTTCTCTGGAGATATTATAAATAAACATAAAAAATGTTGATGGGTGAACAGACACAGCTCTTTTTCAAATGTTTAGTATTACACATGGTTTGAGCTTTTTCAGTCTATACCCAAACCAAAGAAGGAATATGGACCTCTCTTCGGAGAAACAAATAGTGCCTGTTACTTTTAAGTTGCCTTCATGAAACGAAGCAGGCGTTGTGCTCTTGTCATCAGAGCTAAATGAATGGTGGTGACGCTGCTGGATTTTGCCCTTGCACAAACCAGTGTGAGTAAACATGTGTGCAGCGTTGGCACGGCCGCAGCCTCGACCTGTAACCACTTTCCACAGAGTGTACACGGCTCTCAAGGACTCGTCCACTCTGTTCAATGAACTGTTGAGAGACATCCAGCAGCAGCAGGAAAGCAGCGCTGAGCCCGGGCCAAGGCCACCGGCTAATACTGCTCCTTTACTGCAGAAAACACTCCAACGCTCCAAGGAAAATGGAAACAAGCTGCTGCTCCAAGACGGACACAGACTCATCTCAGCTCTGACTGTAGAGCTCTGACTGTAGAGCTCTGACTGTAGAGCTCTGACTGTAGAGCTCTGACTGTAGAGCTCTGACTGTAGAGCTCCGACTGTAGAGCTCCGACTGTAGAGCTCTGACTGTAGAGCTCAGACTGTAGAGCTCAGACTGTAGAGCTCCGACTGTAGAGCTCCGACTGTAGAGCTCTGACTGTAGAGCTCAGACTGTAGAGCTCAGACTGTAGAGCTCAGACTGTAGAGCTCCGACTGTAGAGCTCCGACTGTAGAGCTCTGACTGTAGAGCTCAGACTGTAGAGCTCAGACTGTAGAGCTCAGACTGTAGAGCTCAGACTGTAGAGCTCCGACTGTAGAGCTCTGACTGTAGAGCTCAGACTGTAGAGCTCAGACTGTAGAGCTCAGACTGTAGAGCTCCGACTGTAGAGCTCAGACTGTAGAGCTCCGACTGTAGAGCTCCGACTGTAGAGCTCAGACTGTAGAGCTCAGACTGTAGAGCTCAGACTGTAGAGCTCCGACTGTAGAGCTCTGACGGTAGAGCTCTGACCTCACATCACTGTATCATCCACATCTCTAACATCTCTGTATCAAGTGCGTTTCATTTCTACATCTCCGCCTCCTGGACTGAAATACTGCTATTATCAACCACATTATTTTATCACAGACTAAACTCTCAACACAGATGATTATTGAAATATTCTCTTTTTAGACAATAAAGCTTTAAATGCTGCAACATTTCACACTATCTGATAATGGTCAAAATTAAAATGATCAAAAACAGTCTAACTATCATAGTGTATATTGTGAAAATAAAGCGTGTAACATGTATTTGAGCCTTTCGTTGCCGGTAAAGAAAAATGGGAACGACAGCACTCACTCTCTTGGCCTCGCTCCTTGTTCTTCAGCAGCTGGATCTTCTGCTCTCGCTGCTGTTTCTCCAGCTCCTGCTCCAGACGGTGATTTTCCATCTTCCTCTGGTGCTCCAGCAGTTCCTGTTGGTGCTTGAGTGCCAGCAGCTCCTGTTGTTGCTGGGGAGATAAAAACAGAGAAAAGGCCCATCAGCCACATATCGCTTATTAGCACTTGTTTGGTGGGAAGTGCTGCTCTGGTCCCTCCTCAGCCAGAGTCGCCGTCTGAGATAATGAAAGTGACAGCTGTTTGCCGCCGTAAAAAGCGACGCAGAACCTCGGGCAACATGCGTGGAATAAACATCAACATTTTAAGTGTGTGAGAGTAAGTGTAATATACAATCTGCTACGGAGAGGGTTAAGGCGCAAAGGGGTTTTAATACTTATTGGTTGATTACTACCATTGGTTTTATTCTAGTTCTTTTTTTGCCTTGTTCTTTTTCCTAGTTTAATTCAGAACAACAGGGCAAAGTACGGCCCGAGGACCACATTCGGACCGATTCACGTTTCTACGCGGCCCGAGGACACTTTCAAGCCGTTAACCTCATACCGCCGCGTTGCCAAGTTAAATGAATCAGGAGTCATTACTTAAATACTGTATGTGCCACCATGGAAGGTTATTTATTCTGTTCTCATTCATAAATATTAGTAAGGATTTGCGCTAAACAAAATATATCCAAACACAAATTAAATTAGGTTTGGCTCTCCACAAAAGAGAGATATCCCAATGTGTCACATCGATAATTCTAGTCACAAATGTTGAAAGGCAGAACAGGGGAGTCCTAACCTTTCTCTATGATGACTGCATATCAAATCAGTTAGCGGGAAGTTGCATTTTCTGGGTTTGCCTTTTTCACAGTAACATATTTTTATAGGTTTAAAAGTTCTCTGCAGTGGCTCCTATGAGAAGTACATCTGTGACATGTTAGTGCCATATGAACCAACTCGGACTCTGAGGAGAACAGGGACTGGCCTCCTGCTGGGACTCTGAGGAGCACAGGGACTGGCCTCCTGCTGGGACTCTGAGGAGCACAGGGACTGGCCTCCTGCTGGGACTCTGAGGAGCACAGGGACTGGCCTCCTGCTGGGACTCTGAGGAGCACAGGGACTGGACTCCTGCTGGTGCCCAGAGTCAGAACTAAACAATTCTGCATTTCTGATTCATGAAGCTAAAATCTGGAGCTTCTTCTTTGACAATTCCCAAATCCAGGTGAAGTTTAGCGATGCATACGACCGGATTTTATCTTTACTATTTTTAATGCACTGATTAAGGATTTTAACGCCTCGTGTGACAGTCTCTATCTTGTTTCGTTCAGCACTTTTGAGTTGCCTTGTGTATGAATTGTGCCTTGCTAAAAATGTACATTCAGATCTTATAAAACAGCTCACCTTAGATATGGCATAACACGGTCTAACTGCTCTATCGTCGGGCTCTGCGGTGGAGACTGGCTTTGTCCTGCTCCTCAGAGGTCAAAAATAACCGCAGCCCGAACGCGCCGCGGTAAGCAGATTGGGGCGTCCTGGAGCCAGGCCAAGAACTCCATCTCTGTGAGCGTGACGACGGCGGCGGCGATGGCTACCGAGCGTGTCAATTAAAGGCGGCGCACTACATGTAGCCGCGCTGAAATGTTCCTTCTATTTTTTTCTCTCCAGTTTGAAGAAAACCAGAACCCAATTACAGTTTAATGCTCATGAAATGCTGTCTGGGTGATTGTCGTAAGGATCGTGGTGACATGCTAAGCAACGCCAACGTAATACCACGGTTTGCAGCGAAGCGCCTAATACAGGGGTGTCCAAACTTTTTAGTAAGAGGGCCAGATTAGTCCAGGGGCCAACACCTCGGACTGAAAAAAAGTCTTGACTGGCATTGGGCTGCTCTGAGCTTTAAAATGATCCATAAAAGAGCTGAAGTGGGCTGGAATGACACATGTTTACCATCTTACCAGCTATATTAGCAGCAAATAACAGAAGAGACACAATCAAAAACCACGTCTACAGTTTGAGCAAATAAAGTCAGAAGAAGGGTTTTAGAACAAGGTCTATGTCATCCATCCAACTCCAGCTCAGCCGATATAGACCTTGTTCTAAACATGTGTCATTCCATCCAACTCCAGCTCAGCCGATAAAGTGAACTTGTGTTTATGATCTCAATTTGGGTTAGCAAGGCAGAGGGCCACATAAAATGACACTGAGGGCCGCAATTAGCCCCCGGGCCTGAGGTTGGACACGCCTGGTCTAATGGATAAATGCTCATCGTGAGGAAGGATCAGGAGATGGATTCGTTTGGACGATTGAAAAAATTGTGATTTTTGTTTTAACTGAAAATGAAATTGGACAAGCCTTTTGTAATCACTACCATTAGGATTTGTCAGAAAGAACTAAAGTAAAATCCTGTATTTTTACACAAATTATTATTATTATTATTATTATTCTCCCCCCTGGACTGCCACCTTAACGTGGTGGGGGAGTTTGAGTACTCGGATGATCCTGAGAGCTATGCTGTCTGGGGCTTCATGCCCCTGGTAGGGCCTCCCATGGCAGACAGGTCTCAGGTGACGAGTCAGACAAAGAGCAGTCCAGAAGACACCATGGACAACACTAATATGAAAACAGTGACGTCGCCCGGCATGGCGCAGCCGGGGCCCCACCCTGGAGCCAGGCCTGGGGTCGGGGCCCGTATGCGAGCGCCTGGTGGCCAGGCCTTAGCCCACGGGGCCCGGCCGGGCTCAGCCCGAAGGGATGACGTGGGCAGTCCCTCCTGTGGGCCCACCACCTGCAGAGGGGTCCGTGGTGAAGCGGTGCTGAGAGGACTGGGCGGCAGTCGAAGGCGGAGACCTCGGCGACCCAGTCCGCACACACAACATCTGGCTCTTGGGACGTGGAACGTCACCTCACTGGGGGGGAAGGAGCCCGAGCTCGTGGGGGAGGTTGAGCGATACCGACTAGAGATAGTCGGCCTCACCTCCACACACAGCTTGGGCTCTGGAACCCAACTCCTTGAGAGGGGTTGGACGCTCCACTTTTCTGGAGTTTCCCGCGGGGAGAGGCGGCGAGCTGGGGTGGCCATTCTCATTGCCCCCCATCTCAGCCGCCACGTGTTGGAGTTCTCCTCGGTGAATGAGAGGGTCGCGTCCCTCCGCCTCCGGGTGGGGGACAAGTCTCTCATTGTTGTGACGGCCTACGGGCCTAACAGCAGTGTAGAGTACCCGGCCTTCTTGGAGTCCTTGGGAGGGGTACTGGACGGTGCACCGCCCGGGGACTCCGTTATTCTCCTGGGGGACTTCAACGCCCATGTGGGAAACGCCAGTGACACTTGGAGAGGGGTGATCGGGAAGAACGGCCCCACTGATCTGAACCCGAGCGGTGCTCAGTTGTTGGACTTCTGTGCCAGTCACGGTTTGTCCATCACGAACACCATGTTCGAGCACAAGGGTGTCCACCAGTGCACGTGGCACCAGGACACCCTAGGCCGGAGGTCGATGATCGACTTTGTTGTCGTATCATCTGACCTTCGACCGCGTGTCTCGGACACTCGGGTAAAGAGAGGGGCGGAGCTGTCAACCGATCATCACCTGGTCGTGAGTTGGATCCGCTGGCAGGGGAAGAAGCCGGTCAGACCTGGCAGACCCAAGCGTATAGTGAGGGTCTGCTGGGAACGTCTCGCTGAGCCCCCTGTCAGACGGACTTTCAACTCACACCTCCGGGAGAGTTTCTCCCAGGTCCCGGCGGAGGAGGGGGACATGGAGTCCGAGTGGACCATGTTCTCTGCCTCAATCGCCGATGCGGCGGCTCGTAGCTGTGGTCGCAAGGTCTCTGGTGCTGGTCCCGGCGGCAACCCCCGAACCCGGTGGTGGACACCGGCAGTAAGGGATGCTGTCAGGCTGAAGAAGGAGTCCTATCGAGCCATGATGGTTCGGGGGACTCCTGAGGCAGCTGTCCAGTACCGGCAGGCCAAGCGTGCCGCGGCCCGGGCTGTTGCAGAGGCAAAAACCCGAGACTGGGAGGAGTTCGGAGAGTCCATGGAGCATGACTATCGGTCGGCCTCGAAGAGATTCTGGCAAACCATCCGGCGCCTCAGGAGGGGGAAGCAGTTCTTTGCCAACACCATGTACGGTGCGGGTGGAGAGCTGCTGACCTCGACTGGGGATATTGTCGGGCGGTGGAAGGAATACTTTGAGGTATCTCCTCAATCCCCCCGTCACGTCCTCTGTTACAGAGGCAGAGGCTGAGGATGTTGGGGCGGGTACATCCATCTCCCTGGCTGAGGTCACCAAGGTGGTTGGTAGCCTCCATGGTGGCAAGGCTCCGGGTGTGGATGAGATCCGCCCTGATTATCTAAAGTCTCTGGATGTTGTAGGACTGTCTTGGCTGACACGTCTCTGCAGCATCGCGTGGCGATCGGGGGCGGTGCCAATGGAGTGGCAGACCGGGGTGGTGGTCCCTCTCTACAAGAAGGGGGACCGGAGGGTGTGTTCCAATTATCGTGGGATCACACTCCTCAGCCTCCCCGGTAAGGTCTACTCCAAGGTACTGGAGAGGAGGTTAAGGCCGATGATCGAATCTCGGATTCAGGAGGAGCAGTGTGGTTTTCGTCCCGGTCGCGGAACACTGGACCAGCTCTATACTCTCCATCGGATACTCGAGGGTTCATGGGAGTTCGCCCAACCTGTCCACATGTGCTTTGTGGATTTGGAGAAGGCGTTCGACTGTGTTCCCCGGGGTGTCCTTTGGGGGGTTCTCCGGGAGTACGGGGTCGGAGGTCCTCTGCTGAGGGCCATCCGATCCCTGTATGACCAGAGCCAGAGCTGTGTTCGCATTGCCGGCAGTAAGTCAGACCTGTTCCCGGTGAATGTTGGCCTCCGACAGGGCTGCCCTTTGTCACCGGTTCTGTTCACTGTATTTATGGACAGAATATCTAGGCGCAGCCAGGGGTCGGAGGGGGTCCGGTTCGGAGACCACAGGATTTCATCTCTGCTGTTTGCGGACGATGTTTTCCTGTTGGCTCCAACGAACCAGGACCTGCAGCATGCACTGGGACGGTTTTCAGCCGAGTGTGAAGCGGCTGGGATGAGAATCAGCACCTCCAAATCCGAGGCCATGGTGCTCGACCGGAAAAAGGTGCCTTGCCCTCTGCAGGTGGGTGGAGAGGTCCTTCCTCAAGTGGAGGAGTTCAAGTATCTCGGGGTCTTGTTCACGAGTGAGGGAAGAATGGAGCGTGAGATTGACAGGCGGATCAGTGCAGCGTGCGCAGTTATGCGGTCGCTGTATCGGACCGTTGTGGTGAAGAGGGAGCTGAGCCGAAAGGCAAAGCTCTCGATTTACCGGTCAAGCTTCGTTCCCTCCCTCACCTATGGTCATGAGCTTTGGGTAATGACCGAAAGAACGAGATCGCGGATACAAGCGGTCGAAATGAGCTTCCTCCGCAGAGTGGCTGGGCGCTCCCTTAGAGATAGGGTGAGGAGCTCAGTCACACGGGAGGAGCTCGGAGTAGAACCGCTGCTTCTCCACGTCGAGAGGAACCAGTTGAGGTGGCTCGGGCATCTGTTCCGGATGCCTCCTGGACGCCTCCCTGGGGAGGTGTTCCGGGCACGTCCCACCGGGAGGAGGCCCCGCGGAAGACCCAGGACACGCTGGAGGGACTATGTCTCTCAGCTGGCCTGGGAACGCCTTGGGGTCCCCCCGGACGAGCTGGAGGAAGTGTGTGTGGATAGGGAAGTCTGGGCGTCTCTGCTTAGACTGCTGCCCCCGCGACCCGACAACGGATAAAGCGGAAGAAAATGGATGGATGGATGGATTATTATTATTATTTGCACAAAAGCTACGCTGTTGTTTGCAATGAATCTATCAACTCCAAACAAAAAACATTCTAAATACTGCCTTCAAATGTTTTTGTTTCAATGAATATAGAACTTTTAATACAATTTACTGAAATATATTTATGATCATTTTATTATTATTCTTATTTTCAGATTTTTGTGAAAAACTATGCGAGCTGCATTTTCCCTTCTGGATCAAAAAAGTCTGTCTAAGTCTAAGTCAGAGTCTAAATTTAAGTTTTAGGTTCGCCTTCGTTCACTTCCCAACTAAATTGCAGCAGGAGATTTGATAGTTAGATTGTTAGAATGATCGGATATTTTTGTGGTTCCGAAAATCTATTTTATTTAGTTTGGACAAGATAGATTCAGATTACCAGCTGAGCGTTTGCAATGGCAGGAGCTCTGGTGTGTGTGAACCTGGGGTGGTCTTGCGCAGTTACGCCAATGTGGTTTTACTGCAAAATGGCAAATCAATGCTTGAAACTTGAATGAGGTCCAAATTATAGCTAGAGTTAGAAGGGTTCTTTTAATAAGACAGAAATGTGGAGAAGCTAGTAGTACGAACTGTTTTAGCATCAAACATAAAACATAATTCACTATTTATTATTTGTTAAGGATTACGGTAAATTGAGGATTACGCCGTGACCTGAATAACCCGGATTATGAAATCTTAATGTCATTTCCGCAAACATGTGTCTGATAAGCAGAGCCATTTGTTGTCTAGAAAAAAAAATGGATTTGGCGCTTTGCTGGAGTATGTGGAGTAACAACACAGAGGCCCGGCTTAGATTCAGGTTAAACCAGTTCATACACGCACACACACACACACACGCACGCACGCACACACACACACACACACGCACACACACACGCAAAGAATACTACGGTACGACTCACACATGTGCAGCTTTGAGACAATATTTGCTCTTTTGCAGCTTGTAAATGGACTATAGCCATGACTCGCGGCAAAAATCATTTCTATTCAATTTTGTGTAGTCCTTAAACATAAAAGCAGTCAATTTCACGGCTTTCAGTTGTAAAAAGTGCAATTCCTCAGTGCGCGTATACGTTTTTGGTCTTCATAATTTGGTGACTTTTTCTGTTTTGTTATTTCGTTTTTTTTCTATGGCATTAATTTTTTATTTTTTTTCAAATTAGCAGTTAGCTACCATAGTTACCATAGTAACCATAGCAGTGTGAGTGACTATGAAGGCGCCGGGAGCTGGTGGCTGATTGGCTGAGTGAGCGAGGCCAAAGAATACATGCACACTGCAAAAAGTGATCAAATATGGGTTTTTTTTACCTTGATTTGACGACATTATGACTGCCTTAAAAGAAGCCATTTAGTCTTGTTTGAAGAACTGTTGCTTTATTTTCTCATTCCACAAGTGACATTTTTTGTATCTTTTTTAAGACAAGATAATGTTGCTTTGTCCCATTGTCAGAACATGCTCAAATGAAGATCTTGTTGAGTCATTTTGTACTTATTTTTCATCACATTGTGTAGTGTATGTGCAACCTACAGATGGATAGACCGTTATTAGATGGAAGAATTAGTTAAATAGATTTTGTTATAGATATATAGATTTTAAATAGATACTTTATTGATCCCCTTAGGATAAATTCAGGTGTCCAACAGCAGTAACACATTCATAAAACCACAGTAACACAAACATCATTCTAAAAGTTTCTAACAAAGTAACAATCTGAAAGGTCTTACAGTCGAAGGCACGGAAGAATCTCTTAAAATTATGTAGTTTTAGCTGAGATTTCTTTTGATCTGTTTGTGACCATTCGAAGCCTGACCTCCAGCGTTGTCTTGTGTGTGATTGGGGTTGTCAGTGTGTGCGTGGAGTGTGCGTTCGCTGCTTGTTTGCACACTTTAATGGCCAGTGTACACAGGGCTGTGAATGGGGCTGATTGAGAGGAGGCCTCGCTGGCTCTCCACTGCGTCACGGACTTCCACCCGAGTGGTCCCGCAGCCGGCCCCTGTCGCTGAACGCACGGCTGACAAAGCGGAAGGAAGTGTTCTCAGTTCAGTGAAAAGAGGAACTTTCGGAAGAGGAAATGAAGTACAAAGAGGGAAAGTCACAAGGGAATACGCAGGAACGAGAAATGCAACAAACTCCAATGTCTCCGTTTCTGATCCACTCTCCTGCAGTGTGCTTTCAGACTGGGATGGCACCAGTGCAAATTATTATTATTATTGTTATCAAATTATTGATATCCATAACCAAACAACAATTAAAACATATATTTAATTACTTTGACATTGAAAGAGAAAGATTTGAAACCACTTCCATTTGCCAATACAGATCTGAGGGTTATTACTTTTTCTACTGGTTTATGATAATGCTGTGAGATTGTGAACAATCAGAACCATGGCTAAAGCACAGGTGTTGACAGCCTCCTGCAGCAGCAGCAGGTCTTCCTTATGTAACATGGACATGTCAGAGCTCTGCACACTCTACGTGCCGCCTGTTCTCCGCTGTAATGAGATGAGAGCTTCTCCTGCTCTGCCTCTCTGTTAATCAAGCTGCTTTTGGCAATGACTAAATTAAGAGCCACCGCTGCTTTGGTTAGTACACTTTTCCAAAGGCTTTCAGAGTCTTTCTGGATGAGTGCCTGGCTCTCCCTGAGGACAGTACCTTGATGTGCTCCTGCAGTTGGGCCTCGTGTTGGCGGGACAGCTGTTCGTGTTGCCTCTGGAACTCTGCGATGAGAATCTGCCGCTGGATCTGCTGCTTCTGCTTCAGGGTCAGCAGCTCCTGCTGCAGCTGCTGATCTCTGAGCGAGGGCCCCAGGGCCGGGCTACCCTGAGGCCCCAGCACGGAGCCCTGGGGGCTCTGCTGCCCAGGCGGTGACAGAGCAGACACCTGCTGCGAGTGCTCCACACGCAGGTCCATGGGGATCGCAGCCGGAGGCAGGCGCAGCGGCAGAGCTGAGTTTATGTCCACTGCAAACACACAAACATCTGCCATCACCTTCTGATTTCACTCTGGTCATGTTCAAACTGTACAGAATATAAAAGACACCGCTGAATGAGACAGACAAAGCTTTTGTTTTCTTTGCTCCACAAGCTTGGAGAGAAATGACCAGATCCGTGACCTGTGGTCAAACACGAGAACAATCAAGTTTGAGTGATATGACATTTCTGAATCAGTTTCTCAGAATCTTCTCCAACTTCAGCTGAACACACAGAGACATTGACAAAGATGGCTTTGACCGGGTGCAGTGCAGCCTGAGCTGGTCACTGAACAGGAAACCGTCCAATCACGCATTAAATCTGAATAAATAGGAGAGGACTGGCTGATTATTTACCTACAAGTTTACCCGGAGCACAGCATGAGCCACAGACACTTGCTTAGAACTGTGTTAATAAAGAGGCAAACACGGCATCAGTAGTGGCCTTAATAGCAGGTTTGTGCCCACACAAACTCATTCAAGCACTTACACCACCACTTAGCCACATGAACTATTCACCGGATGAGTTTGCTGGATAGGCTGTTAAACTTTGAAATGTTGCAGAGAAGAGCCTTTTCACTGGACAGCTCGTCGAATCCATTTCTACCTTATCAATGAATGCGTCTGTACAAGGATGTATGTTTGCTAAAATGCAGAATATTGTATTTAATAAAAAGCAGTCTTTCTAAAACAAACCGTGACAAAGTGCCCAAAAGCATTATTTATAGGAGATGTGCTGATGTGGTTTCATTCTGCCTCCTGTGTCCCAGAAACACTCTCCTTTCACATCCAATCTCTGACTCCACAAAACATGCCATATTTGAGAAATAGAGCAGTCAGACAGAGCGCTGTGTATGGATATCAGGCTTTTCTCCTCAAGACTTTTTGGTGTCAATCTTGTGCACGGTGAGGAAGTGAAAATCTCACAGTGACAAATCCAACACACACGCCCCCAGCGCTGGCGTCGTCCTCTCTCAGACACACATCCACAAAAGCAACAGGTCCTTGAGATGAGTCAGGGCACATCTGCACTGCGATACCACTGCCCAGGCCCGCATCTGCCCCATTCAGCCATTCACCTACTTACAACTAATGCTTATGTTTCTGTTAAATGACTCCTATCCTCTCTTTCATCCAATGCATGTGATTCCACTGAAGTATATTAGATGTATTCACGCAGAATTTCTTTTAGACAACAAATACTAAAGGAGCATTCAGAAGCTGTCTCTACAAACACGACTTTGAATGGAAAACATCTGCTAACGCTGTGGTTTCTCCTACACTGAAAAAAGTAATACATTGCTGTGTTTCATTTGATGTTTTTTTTTTTCATCCTAATAGCCTAAAAATATTAAATTGTTAAGCAAAAATACATTTTGTAAATATGATGTCCCCTTCAATCTATTTTTGTAGATTGATATAATATAAAAGTATAATTTAACAATGAGATTAAAATTATACATTAGACCAAATTACTTTTATAAATCAAGCACAATTCGCGCATGCGCACACATGAATACAGAGAGAAACTTCTGGAAGTCGGCAGAACTTGAGAGGACGGTTGAAGAGGCTAAACTGGAGGACACTTTTGTCAGGTAAGGGGGGAATTCACCAAAATTGCACATCTTCGTTGTCCTTGTCCTTTATTTCAACTTACACTATAATTTTAAGGTGACTAGTTACATTTTTATAAGGTGATTGCGAACTGATAGCCAGGTTAGCTAAGCGTTTGCAGGATAGCCCGACCTAGCATTCAAATGTATAGTCTTAATGTCATATCATTTCGATGAACACATGCGCAGATTTAAGTTTTCATAACGTACATTTTGGCTTTAGCGGAATAGCGTTACCTTGGTGCCATTTTACAGCTAACAAATGATAGCTGGCAGCTATGAACATGCTAACGTTAACTTCACGATACAGAAAACCCGCCAGAATGTTCTCGCAGGCGTTTAAGTTAGATGCAGCAGTTGACGAGAGAATGAGACTTTGTGCCTCCTGTGTGTAATTTATAAAACGTAAGTTTTGATGATTGAAACCTAAATGTGTGAAAAAAACGTTGTACTGCTGTTTATGATATTATGGTCAAGATTGCTATCTGAATGAGACGTTATAATTATACAGGACGTATTATCACCCTGGGTGTGTATGTGACTTAATATTCATTTCTGTACACACTAAAACGGTGATTTACCTTGACGAAAAGAGCTGTAAAAACTGTATCAAGCCTTGATTCTTGATTCACGTTAGGTTACGTTGATCTTAATATTTTGTATAATACTGTGGTCTGTCCCAATGCTAATTGCAGTTGTGGTGTTCTAGACTCTGCGTGCTCCTTGATGCTTTATTCCTTATCTAATTGCTTCTAAGCAGTTGAAAAGTTTATTAGTTTACATCTACCCTATTTCAACATGTGGGCGCGACCATTACTGCAGGGATGAGAATTGTCCGTGTTTTGACGAAATTACGACGTTTTCTCGCTGAAAATGGACCTCCGTGATTTTGTTCTAAAGTACATTATTAAAAGTATATGTACCATTTTCATCACAAACAATTTGTTAACAGGCGGGCGTAAGGGCGGCATTGTACGCTGTGGGGGTCCTTAACACATTTGACGGAAATGGCAAATACTAAAGCGTAGCCTTAAACTGAGTCAGACACAGGGAAACACTGGAAAATACTGTCGAGGTACGCACGCGTTCACCTGCTCATTCTGTGCAAGACGAGAGCCCGTTGTGTGTGCGGCTCTGAGCGGAGATGTCTCTGTGAGGCTGTGAAGCAAATGGGTGTGCGCGCTCCTATTGTCATAGTGAATTATAATTATGAATTATGAGCAGAAGTCACCAATTCTTAGTGTCTTTTTATAAAAAAAAATGTCGATGCTGAAGGGGGGCGCTTTGCATTAATTGGCTGACATCTCAGACTTTTTTGAAATGTCCTACTCTCATCCCTGTTATTGAGACAGCGGTCTGGCGCCAGCTATGCCTAGTAATGGTCCAGTGGATATAATACAGCGCTTGACCTGGGTTCAAGTCTGGGTCTTTGGAATTGTTTTGATACTAGCATGCACAGAAAACATCATGCCGCTTTGATTGATTGGCGTTTTAAGATATTTCATAGTAACACTGAGTGTCAAACACGTCTTAGACGTCTCGTGTTTTGAAAAGCGTAGTCAGCCACTATCCAGATTTATAAAATGTAATGAGTCGACAACAATAGTGACAATACCACCATGACAGATAAATTCTTAATAATCTTTTTTTAGGATTATGAAAACTCAATTGTCAAAAAAAAAGGTTTGAGAGCATACCCCGTCAGTGTGCAAAATCAAATGTATTCCAATTGTTAAGTATATCATTATATTAATTAAATAATGTTAGTCTATTTTTGATCTGTAAATTGTATACTTGTATGTCTAAAAAATAGGGAATACAAAAATGAGGGTAATTTTTCCCTCTTGACTAAACTTTTATTTCAATGTGTGTTAAATGTAAAATTTGTGAAAGAAGACGTGCATTTCGACTTTGAAACTGAAACTGTTTTTATGTTTGAATTTTAAGGAAGAAGCTGATTGGTTGGCTCATTTCCTGATTCCCTTGTAGTGGCCGAGTCACTGGTACCTGCCTTATAGTTTTGACACTGGTAAGTTCTTTTTTTCATTGTGTCTTATTGTGTGGATAAAAAAAACAAGGTTAAAAGTATAGAAATAAAACAGTAAACTATTAACACTGTGAAATTGATCAATCTAAAACAGTTTTAATACGAGTGCAAGATCATGAAAGTGCTCTATTAAAATTGATAACAGCTTGTGGAAAGAAGCTGTTAGCGTGTCCTGCATCTCAGCAAACAATATCTTCTGCCAGAGTTATGAAAGCTTTTCCAGGGTGGACAGAAAATTGAATATTTTAAGAGCTCTGTTTAAAGGTCTGGATTTATAAAGAACCTCCAGAACAGGGCGCTCACAGTCCTCTTTGCAGAGAGGAGCACCTTGTTTAGCGCTCTCCTTTCTTTGTCTGTGATGTTACCAAACCACACAGTCACAGAACCAACAAGCAAACTCTCAATGGTCCAGCTTATGTGCTGGGAATTGTAACATTTTACTACCACACACTAAAATATTTTCAATTTGAGTTATGCTTCAATCTGGTAACTAAAGATGTGTTTTCCATGATGTGTCCTCTTTTCTCAGTTCTCGGATCATGTGGAAATGCAAAGACTGTTTCAAATAGAAGAGGTCAGTTTTGGTGCAAAACTATGTCGATTCTCCCTTTTGTATTCAAAACAGATTTTCTGTGTAATATAACTACAGCTTGGGCACTATTTCCAATAGCCAACGTTAATCCCAAACTCTTTGTATGTTCTGCTCATTTTTTAGATCAGTGCAGAGTTTATGAGGATCACTACAGTGCCCTTGGAGACCAAATTCATACAGGAGTTGGACAGGCATTCCACAAAGATAGTGCAGATCATACGGAACAAGGGTGGCGTAATAAAAGAAAGGACTGGCCGTATCCTGCAGACTTTAGATAAGGTATGTACAGTTATGGCAGAGTTAGACAGAGTCAAACATGTAAGGGATATTAGACACAGTGAGTCTATCCTATTTATTCACCCAGTGTTTCAATGTACTTTTTGTCTGGTAAATAAGAACATGTAATTTCATGAATGCATTTGGTTCAGGGCGTGGACGTCAATACAAGGAGGGAATCGGTTCTGAAATGTTTGGTCCACTACTTTGGTGAATCTGTTCACCACCTCAACAAAGAAATCCAGGTACATGCATTGCTCAGCCATCCATGCACAAACACATACTTAGTACCAGGCCTGAACTGTTCATCGGACGTACCCATTTTTTTGCCGGTCTGCCTGCTGCATACAAAAAATGAAAAGATAATTTTCTCTCTGGTCTCTTTCTGGTCCCTCTCTAGTCTCTCTGGTCCCTCTCTCTGGTTCCTCTCTCTAGTCTCTCTGCTCTATGGTCCCCTTCTGGTCTCTCTCTGGTCCCCCTCTCTCTGGTTCCTCTCTCTAGTCTCTCTGCTCTATGGTCCCCTTCTGGTCTCTCTCTGGTTCCTCTCTCTAGTCTCTCTCTGCTCTATGGTCCCCTTCTGGTCTCTCTCTGGTCCCTCTCTCTGGTTCCTCTCTCTAGTCTCTCTGCTCTATGGTCCCCTTCTGGTCTCTCTCTGGTTCCTCTCTCTAGTCTCTCTGCTCTATGGTCCCCTTCTGGTCTCTCTCTGGTTCCTCTCTCTAGTCTCTTTCTGGTTTTTCTCTTTGGTCTCTCTCCCTCTCTCTAGTCTGTGGTCTCTCTCTCTCTGGTCTATCTCTAGTCTCTCTCTGCTCTCCCTCGCTCTCTGGTCTTCTTCTTTGGTCTCTCTTTCCAATCTCTCTCTAGTCCGTCTCTCTCCCTCTGGTCTCTCTCAGGTCTCTCTCTACTCTCTAGTCCCTCTCTGGTCTCTCTCTAGTCTGTCTCTGGTTTTCTCCCTCTCTGGTCTCTCTCTACTCTCGTTTCTCTCTGGTTTCTCTCCTCAGGTCTCTCTATACTCTCTAGTCCTTCTCTAGTCTCATTCTCTGACTCTCTTGTTTCTCTCTCTCTCTCTCAGGTGTCTCTACTCTCTAGACCCTCTCTGGTCTCTCTCCCTTTTCTCTCCCTTTTCTCTCCCTGGTCTCTCTTTAGTCTCTCTCGCTCTCTTTCTCTCTCTCTCTCTCTCTCTCGTGTCTGTGGTCTTTCTCTCTGGTCTATCTCTAGTCGCTCTCTGGTCTTCTTTGGTCTCTCTCTCTGGTCCCTCTTTTTTCTTTTTCTCTGGTCCCTGTAGTCTTTGGTACAGAATAAGCAGGCGTGTCTCTCACACATTCAGTCTGGTCAGCATTCCTTACTTTGTTTTTTGTTGCCAGGATATGCCAGGTGATGGACTGGAGCTGGGTGGAATGGCTGTCTTAATCAGTGACACAGACACCAAGGTTCTTATTGAGGGCACGGAGGTCCTCAGTAACTTGCCCGCAACTGCTGTGTTAATGTTATTTGGACTGACATATGTGCTAAACCTTCAATACCCAAAAGAATTGAAGTTCACTTTTGAGTTTTTCCAGAAGGTTTTAATGGACCCTAGAAAGATGAACCCAAAAATGTGTCGCTTCTGTACTCTGCTGCACAATAAGCAGATATAGGTGCACTATAATAACTCTTTAGATAGACTGATCCAATCATACGTTTGTGTTTGTGTATATATAATATATATGTAACTCACCTTTCGCCCTCGTGGGTTGTTATCCCTCTCTCTAAGCTCGGGTCCTCTACCAGAGGCCTGGGAGCTTGATCTTTGCTGTTCCTAGCACTGCACATGTCTGGACCGAGATGTCCGAAGCTGTTCCAGGGAAACGGGGTCACTGCCCCGAGTGCACCGATCACCACGGGCACTACTGTCACCTTTTCCCTCCAGGCCCTCTCCAGCTCCTCTCTGAGACCTTGGTATTTCTCAAGCTTGTCGTGTTCCTTTTTCCGGATGTTACAGCGGATCCCTGGAACAACCTCTGACATCTCGGTCCAGAAATGTGCAGTGCTAGGAACAGCAAAGATACTGCGCAGAACCCTCAAGCTCCCAGGCCTCTGGTAGAGGACCCGAGCTTAGAGAGGGATAACCACCCACGAAAGGTGCTCTGTGTGTGTATGTGGGTGTGTGTGTATATATATGTATGTATATGTATTTATGTATGTATATAAATATAATATATGTATATAGATATGTGTGTGTATATTATTCATTTAATCACATTTTATTCTGCAGTAATTGCAGCTCTGTCTGCAATGAACTGATTTGGTGCTAATTATAAAAAACATGTTTGAGCAAAGAACTGTTGTAACAGAATTTACTGTTGAATGTTTTTCTAAGACAGAATTTACAGTTTTTTTTTTTTTTCTAAAAGAATGTGCTTTTAAAAAGTTGACATGTGTGTAATCTTAACAGTGCATTCATACATTTAATAAATATTGAAAAGAATGTTTGGTCTGAGTGACTTCTTAGGGAAAAAATATTGAGAGTCTAAAATTACTAGATTATGCCAATTACTAAACCTTGCAATAAATACATATTTCACATTGTATAAAACTTAATTAAGATTTACTCTGTAAAACCCCTTTTTTTTTACATTCAAGCCAATTTCTTTTTTCAATTTACACCAAGTTCAGAAAAGAGTTTGTATGAAATGCATGCATTTTTCTTATTTGAGCCAATGTAAAATATTTATTTGTACCAAATTAAGAAATTGCTGAAATTTAGATTGAACTGAATGGCTTCTGAACCTTAGGTCAATGTATAATCTTTATTGTGAATGGTTACTCTACTTTTTTTAAGTTGATCCAATGTTTCATTTTTTTCAGTGTATAAACCTGCTACATGTTTGAGATTCTTGAAGTTTTTAGTCTTTCACTTGACAAGTTCAAAATATTGACTGAACAAAATCTTGCTTTGAAACCCAGAAATAGTCAAAAATCTGAATCACGTACAGAATTCTTTGTATAGCCATTCTGAGTAACAAGAAGTCACAAACTAGGAAATTG